CATTTTCCCCACTTCATAACGCCCAAACCCGGTCATTGACCGAGCAGTTTACTCGTTCATAATTCATCTTACTTATTATGAGTTTAATTTATGGATTGAAGCAATGGTTATTTGTAGCCTATGCCGATCATAGCGTCATTCCTTGATGGATAGATTTCATTTGGTACTGAAGTTGAAAAATGACGATATTGACTAATCTTGTTGTAATAAATGTATTTCACAACTGTTCCATTCCATCTTATCGAATACTTACCAAATCATTGACTAAAGCAAATAGAATGCTTTTTATTGTTACAGAATTCAGAATCGTAGAGCAATAATGAGCTCGAACAAGAATCTAGTCAAGGATCATCTCTACAGTCTACAGTTGTTCAATCCATTTGGTTCGATGAATTGACTACAACCAAGCGTTGCCTACAAGTTCAGACTTGAGCCTGCCAAGGGTAGGCTTTTCCTCAACTCGATGATAGTGTCTTTTACCGTTCCAACCAATCTGCTTCAAATATTACTACACTTGTATTCCATTTCCAACACTGTAACGTGTTGGACATGTTGCTAATCCAGTCACATCGATCTTGTCATCGGCCGTTTCAAATAGAGGAATTCATGAATCCTCTAATATTAGCATGGCGCTCATCATCTTTGGTTAGAAAGCGAACGCTATCCAATCGACGGCAATGATCATCAGACTCTCAACTATAAGGTGCTATTGGTTGCCATGCACGACGTTGATATTGCTGATGCCAGCTCGTACAAGGATATCTGCCATGATTGGCCATCATTCATTACTCAATAGGACTACTAGGTATGTTACTAATAATATTATTAATTAATAATAAAAACTAGCATATACCCATTCATGAATCCTCTAATATTAGCATGGCGCTCATCATCTTTGGTTAGAAAGCGAACGCTATCCAATCGACGGCAATGATCATCAGACTCTCAACTATAAGGTGCTATTGGTTGCCATGCACAACGTTGATATTGCTGATGCCAACTCGTACAAGGATATCTGCCATGATTGGCCATCATTCATTACTCAATAGGACTACTAGGTATGTTACTAATAGTATTATTAATTAATAATAAAAACTAGCATATACCCATTCATGAATCCTCTAATATTAGCATGGCGCTCATCATCTTTGGTTAGAAAGCGAACGCTATCCAATCGACGGCAATGATCATCAGACTCTCAACTATAAGGTGCTATTGGTTGCCATGCACAACGTTGATATTGCTGATGCCAGCTCGTGCAAGGATATCTGCCATGATTGGCCATCATTCATTACTCAATAGGACTACTAGGTATGTTACTAATAATATTATTATTAATAATAAAAGCTAGCATATACCCGCTCATGGGAGCGGAAGTTAATCTTCGATTTGCCGTTAAGTTTAAAATAGAGCCTAGCCTAGTGCGCACACCTAGGTGTGCGCACTATATTGTCATAGGTCAGTCATAGGTACTGTACAATGTACAGTACATGCATACAGTACAGTATTATGCTATTCTACTGTATACTGTACAGTATACAGTACCGTACAGTCTACAGTACATACTGGGGCCGTAGTTAAGAGGACTACTGTATTTTATACCATGGAATGGATACCATACTGTGCTTATTAGCCTACCGTCAACTACGGCACACCACGGTGTAGAACTGAATATGGACATGCGCATAGGCATGGCCTTTCTCTTCACTGACGTCATCGGTCGTTGGACAATTGGTTCATTGTACTGTATTGTTATAGTACAGTACAATTGAACGTTGAAGACACACTTGGCATTATTATAAATAAACTAGTGCAAACTCCCGTCGCTTTGATATTGATTAAGTACTCTTCTTAATTACTTTCATCTTCATCTTGATAGAGTTGAGAAGACAGGAAAAAGGAAAATCTTATTTACGCCACAAAATGGCCAATTTCGATCCCAATATGCTGAATAGTGCCAATACGGGACTAATGCGTACCTTGATGGTAGTGAGCAATTTATCCATTGCTTCTCTTGTACTTTCTTCCGTTCTTCTGGTTGTTGGAATAATGGGATTGTTTGTTCCATATGTCACCATCTTCGCGATTGGCTTGCTCGCCGCCTTGAATTGCTATTGGGTAACCGTTCCGGTATGTTGAATTTTTTTTTGCAACATGTTCTACTTGTCCACAAGCAGTATACAAGCCTCAACATTGAGATGATTACACCAAAGAATAAAATAAACACCGTAGCATATCTTGAAACAACGAGTCTTCCACTACCAATGAAAGTAAAGTAGCGACTGATAAATTGCTTCATAGTCTGTGTCTTACGACTCGTCCATTAAACAATTCTACATTCAATGAGTTTAACCTTACATATTCCAATAAAACATTTTCTTTCAAGTTTTTGCCCAGTCGGAAGCGATCAAGTCAAAGACTTACCAAACAGTATTCAGTCAGGAACTATTATGTTCGTCAATGCGTTTGTGAAAATGTTCGTTAGAACTCTACATCATATTAGTCTATAGCTAGTATTAAAATATTCCGAACGCTGACAATCAATTGATTCGTTAATGTAGTTAAAACGCTTACATTTCTGTCAGCATTTTCTGCTTTTTATTCTGGAAATATCCGAGAGTTTACGATTGGCTTGAATCCTTACATTTTTCTTCAGTAGTCCCTGACCAATCAACTTGGTCATCATTCACTAGCACTTAGTGAAAATCAACCAGCCTTAATAGGAAAAATAAAGTCGCTTTACATCCTTTTCTAGCTTGCCATCGATTTTAAGACGGTTTTGCAGTAATTCAAGTTGTCCACTAATCTCTTTACATCTCGTTGCCTGTAAAGAAGGCTTGCGTACATTATCAATGCGTATAGCACTATAGCATAACTTACAGTACTTACACAGAAATTAAACTATTCTTACTCGATCTTGCAATCGTATCTCAAGTTATTCTGTAGACTGTATTACATACAAGGAAAACTTGAAATGTATTTGAACTGGAAATAAAAGTAGTTTATCATATAGAACTCAATTTTGTCGTTTTAATTTTGATATAATGTAGATATTAATCACCAGTATCTTGGGCATCTGCGGATACAGGAAAGGCCAATATCGTCATAATGTGGTAAGCAAGGCTATTTTTGCCCTTTTAGGCTACTAATATATGTTCTTGTCAGTTAAATTTTTGCTATACAAACGCACGGAATAATTATATATTAAATGAATTTTTCTTTATACAATTCTTACTGTCATTAAATAATCGACTGCTTATTTTTAAAGTTCAATGTTATTTACTAATAGTAAAGTCTACAACTATTTAACTGAAGCAGTAGTAATATAGTAACATATTAATTTCATGTATTATTTGCATACTGTTAATAGTTATGAAATAAGTGCAATGTGATTTGCCTAAAGAGAAATGTGAAACCAATTTTAAAAACAGTCGTCTATGCCGTGAATAAATGATTTACTGGACTATCATTTCATGATCATGTAGTGTACGATCCTTAACGAAAGAATTTCATTAGTACCAGTCAGTTTCCGACTAAAATTAAACAGCCCTAAGTTGTAAGCGAAATCAAGTATAAATACGTTTATTTGCTTGGTAAACAAATGACTTAGTAGACCCATTACTCCGTCTTACATAAATGAAGGGGCTAAAGTTATAGCAAAGGTTTTACGTTTACATTACTCACTTTGAAATGTCATCATTCACAGTAGATCTACGAAAAATACTTCTAGTCCATTTCTCCGCCCAATTTTCATATCTTTGTACAAAATTTTCATTTACCCAACTTCCACCTTTTAAAGTTGTTGCTGGATTAATAATTTTCCACTCGTAATAACGACTAATCCATAGCAATGATGGGAGTATAATTGTAGCATAAGAATAATGGTTAAATTGGATTACATATTCAAACTATTAAATTTTAGGTATAAATTAAACTTACCATACCGTTGCAATATAAATAATGTGAACAACAGTATTCAATAAAAATGTGACTGTTTCAAGTTTTAATCAACATATAGTAATACTATATACCTATGATTCCTTTCGCATTCTTCTATTTTACCATCAACAACTATAATGCTGTCGATGATAGGCTATAGCACATCTCGTCTTTTCGATCATCAGTGCAATTACCACTGTTGGAGGGCTGGTTTTTACAATCATAACATTGGCTGTAATGACTGTTTCAATCGCCAATCAAGTTCAAAATGGCCAAACTATTGGTCAGGTTGCTCAAGCGCCTACAGTAATAGCTTATGTTGGTACTAGCATCACCGTTGCGATTTACATTTTCTTCTTTTACTATTGCATACATGGTGCGGTTATATTTCGCAAAGTGCCAAGGAAAGCTTTTATCAGTAATGCTACCAATCTTTCAACCATGCCGGTAAATCAACAATTTTATTGCTAACTTTCTTTTAGTCATATTTAGTTATCTATTTCTAACTATATTCGAATTTATTATACTAACTTGTAGGTACCTTTGCAACAAGATGCTGTAGTAACTGGATACGTCGGAAATCCAGCGACAGTGTCTACAGCCAATTACAATTACCAACCCGATTATAGTAATTACTATCAACCTAGTAGTAATATTCAGAAAGTGTAAACTTTGCTGAAATAAAAAAGCGTAGTGGTCTGTCCAATTGATACATTGTGACTCTTATATCAAGAGATATACTACTCAGCAGTTTAGATATGCAATTATTGGTGGTGTATGCGTGCAGATTATATATATAAGACAAGTCCATTTTGCTCAAGAAGATATACAGTAATGGTACATTGAAACCTTGAAGTAATTCATTCTAGTAATTTCTTTCATAATACTGACTTTTACTTAGTATTTGGATTTCGGGTTAGGTAATAGTGAAATAAATTGTGTTCTAAATCGGGAATGTTAACCTTACTATGATTCTTATGATAATCGTATTGCCAATGCAAATAATAAAGGTGACAAGCAAATTATGTCTTTGCTTCAAAAACTCTGCCAATTAGATTTTAAGTTATGCGATATCTATAATCAAAATACTCAAGTAAATGACATTCCGTCTCAATAAATTATCCTTATTGTCATTGATGATCTATTGCGAATGTCGAGCGTTAACAGCAGCTAAGTTGTGATATACTGACCGCGCGTTCTGGACTATCAGGAATTCATAAAGGGTTCGCGTATACCGCTATATTCGTAGTATTTAATTGCATCAAGTGTTATATGGTAGTGAATAAAGTAAAATGACTAGTTAATCTAAGCCTGCTAAACTGGTTATAAATATTCACAGCAACTATCTCAGACAATCTGATAGTTTAAGTACCTTGTAAGGTATCTCTACGCCGTCATATTCAATACTAAACGGCAAGAAGTTGATGCATATACTGTATCTTTAATAGCTTGTTCCGCTAAGAACACTATATCGGATCATAAATAAATCACGTATAACCTGCATTAAGCTATCCCTGGTAAGTTTTACATGGGATTTGCAAGGACTAAATCGGTACAATTTATAAAATTTTCCAATTTTCAAGGATACTGAGATCAACACGAGATATTCTAAATTATAGGCATGAACGAGAAAACGCCCCTATCTTATAGAATCTCTTTCTAACTGTAATCACTAACTGACTATCAGCTAGTTATGCTTCGCTGGTGATTTACTTTTATTTTCGTAAGTGCTGGTAGTTATCTTGCACTTTATTCAGTGAAATTTGTATATTAGTTCTTGATGCCGCGCTAGCATTACACCAATTATCGCACAGCTTTATTTATTGATACAATTTAGAAACTCAGCAATCTAGCCTCTATACTCCGACACACGGTTAATAATTAATTAATTTTCTGTTACATAGCTACTGTACTCCTATAATTATAACATGATATGACAACAAAAATTCTGCTTAATTACGCCAGAGAAACATTAACAAGTAAACTGTGTTTAATTTTTACATTTTCACTAAATTAGTTGATTGATGTCTTGAAGCCTATTATCTCGTTATTATCGAACAATTGAACGAGTAGGCAGGCCACTTAGTTTCGATAGTCATCCATCATTATGTTCAATCTAATTAACTACTTTTACGTTTTAATATGTTGAAGTCTATATGAGGTAATTTCAGTTGGAATTATTAATAATAAAGAAGGGGTAGGGCCTATAAGAATGAACTCGTAAACTCTGTCAAGATTAAATCAGGTCGAAATGGATTCTTGAAGAGATAAAATATTATCCCGATTGAACAGTAAACATTTTCGTGATAAAATAGATCATGCTTATCCCGCTCAAGTATTCGACCTCTACAATGATCAGCAGTGCAAAAATTTATTTAGTAAAATAAAAGAATCAATCACAGCGTTGAAAGGGGGAAAATTGGGGTTTATTTACTTCAATTCAAGGAAATCCATTCATTTACAACCAAGTACTCCGGCACTTGTGAAACATGGATAACAGATTCCATTCAAGCCATGCTAGTTACATCTGTATTGAGACGAGAAAATTATAGAGACAGTATAAATGAATGAATCTAAATAAGCATGATGAATAATCAAGATGACCTCGAAAGCGCAACAATGAGAGAGAGTTTGTCAATTCTCTCCTAGCTCATCAATTAAGAATTACAATTTTTTTCAAATTATGAAGAATAAAACACGAACAGAATCTTGCCAACTACTGACCTTAAAAATGCTTTGTTATTGAAGAAACGAACAAAATGCTATAAATTACGTATAGAAACTTCAAACCTGAATAAATATTTCATTATTTTGTCTGTACGTACTAATGCAAGGAATCGTATTTCAATGGCAATGTTTCGAAATAGTTCACAAGAATCGATCTATGCATGTACGATTTATTCGCGTAAAGGAAATCAAGATCGTGATGACGATATCATAAAAACAGATTTCGATCGTCTCCAACGTATCCTTACAGAGTTCTTCCATTCAAGTGATCTGGATCTGAATTCGGCTCAAGGAACTAACTCCAGAATGACTGGGGCCTAAATATGACCTAAAAATCGCAGCATAATAAATTTACTTTCCTTTGTGGAGAGAATAAACAATTAATTTGTTAAATAAATAACATTACGCGGTTTCGTGGCAGCTAGATAGATATAAAGAAAATATATTTTTAGTTCCTGCACTTACCAATATGAGCACATTTCATGAAACAAGAATAATTAAGTGTATCATCTCTGGCTAACGAACGAATACTGTACATGCACAGTTTCACATGCTGTTTTGCTGTAATTATGAAATATTCCATAGCATAAAGAGAAATATTGAATAAAAACAAAGTCAGGAAATATCTTCGTAGTTAAGCAAGCTATTTTACACTAACTTTCTCGGCAGAAACCAGCATAATAATCTTGCAAACAGTCCCAATAGGATCTTTCATTGACGTTAGCACAGGTCTGATTATGATAGTAAGGATTCGGTAAACAATAATCATCTAATACAATTTTGAGAGCGAAATGAATGTAATATTAAAGTCATTTGCATAGTATCATTATATGACAAACGATATAAAATAACTTCTTAATAGAAGCTTATGGGTTACAATTTAATCAAATTTTATTCATTTAACATAGTGCATTATTAGGAGCATTATATTAAAACTGTAATTTACATATGCTTCATTCGTATGAGTCATTATAAACATAAACTTCTAGTTATACGCGTATTCTTCTTACTGGAATCAGAATATTAAAATATTTGCAAAAACAATGTGAGTAAGTACAATATTGACAGCAATCTCCATAGTGTAATGAAATGAAAAGTGTAGAGATCAAGCTACGAAACTTTAACAAACTTTGATTCTACTTTCGTTGCACTCCGGTCGACTTAACGCTAATACTTTCACACCAAATAAAATTTGGGGAAATAACCGAACAACAATTTATTTCAAAACAAAAATGGAGAGAAGTATAAACCGAACAACCTTACAAATACTTAGCTTTAAGTATTATTAAAATAAATGACAGACTTAAAAACTGTCAACGACCAAATAACCTTTCAAAAAGAAGAACGTTTTAACTTACGACAATTCGACCCCGAAGGCCTTTTAAATTCAACAAGTTCTTCAAATAAAATCTTCTTCTACTCTCTCTCTAAATTTTCTAATTGCACTATCATTTATAGGCTTCGTAGAGCCGTCAGAGGTATTTAAAACTAAACATTTGCTAACCAATCGCTCTTAAGATCCGCTTTAGAAAACTACTTTGCACCATTTAAGAAAACAAAAATCATTCAAAGTTCAGACACAATTTACCCTACGATTCCCTTACAAAACACTATAAAAGTAACAAGCTAACTATAAAAATACATCAAACTTCATTTCTAACATAATTTCTATCATTAATACACTATAAAAGTCTAAAAATCAACCTTTAAATATCAAGATTTAGTCATAAAAACAGCATTCTAACTACCTAACAATCAACACAACCTCTGCCAATTTCCATCTTATTTTCTATTTTCCTCACTAAATCTCCTAATGTGACTTCAAGTCACGTCATAAAATTCCAAAGTTTCAAATTCATAACAAAAAGTTCAAATCTCAAAAATCAACTCTTACGATATTTTTCATGAACAAAAATCCAAAAATTAAAACAGAAAATTATAATTCAGACATAAATTAAAAATAAACCCGACCGGTTCCAAAACAGGAAAATTATATCGGACACAAACCCGACCAGTCCCAGAATCCGAAAACTATATCGGACACAAATCCGGAAAAATTCGGTTTTTATGAAGATCACAGTAATCGCTTATCAAAAAAATTTATATGACTACTACGACTACTTTTCTGACATTAGTATCGCTTAGTATTCGCGAGTATTGACAGTTGATGTTTTAGCGTCAGATTGTACTGTAACTGTACGAGTATAGACTACATTACAGTACTTTATCGTCATGTTATAAATCCCCTTTCTCTAAGGATAGGGTTTTGCTACTAAGTCAAATTTCTTTACAATTTGAATAGACGATGAAACGCCCTTTCTTTAGATTAGGCATTTGCTCTATTGGGCTACTTCTATAGTAATCTATATAATACCTTGTAAAATAATGAAGAAGAAAAGATGGCGACATGATGATTTGGCAGGGTAAAACTTAAAGACACTATCACTTTCTAGGTATTTTCTATAGTAAAATAATACTAATTACATACTAAAAACTACAAAGGACTCTACTTTTAGTCCTTTTACTACAATAGGATTCAAACTGTACAGACCATCATATGTGATATTTTAATGTTTGTTGGATTAATGACCTTATGTGGAACTATTTCATTTTATTATGATTATACCGATCCAGAATTCTAACATCTTACAGTTTCTTATTGCAGTAGGAAAGTATAGAATTAGAAGATTAGAATGCAAGGGACCATTACTGCTTCACATTATTCGTAATAAACTCAATATTAAAATGTTTCGCAACAAGTCACATTACTTATACTGTAAGTTCATTTATAGCGGTAAATATTAATTTTTAAAAGTTGCTTAATTCTACTTTAGTATTGGAAAAATGCTTATTGAGATTAAGAATAAAAAGCTGTGAGTATTAATAATACATGCTAATTTCATAACTTAAGCTAGACTACTTCAGAATATCCATCGTTTCACGCTTTTAAAACTGTTGATTTACTGCCAAAAGTGGCTGTACTGTCGCTGCTGGATTTTTTTGCTGGATCTCACACCAATTCTTCGATATTGCTCTCACGCTTATAAATTAGGATGTTTTTAGATGGTAAGAATATTGCAAATTAAAAATATGGGAATACATACGATATTGACAACGATTTCCATAATACCCACAACTGCATTTACAATGGTATGTATGAGTACTTCCGGTACCATTTCATATGATCAAGTACCGTAGTTATCATAAAGCCAAAATTCAAGAAAAAGTTAACAAAATATCTTCTTCATATTTGTATGGAAATTATTGTGATAGAGTGATTTCCAAATAAAGGACAATTACGTGTATGTTCTAACATTACATGGCCAAATAATATAATTAATACTAGTAGTTCACATTATAATTATTAACAGCATGTTCCGCTGATATAAATCGTATGGCTAATAAATCAATAAAATAATTAGCGTAAATGATGGTAAATACGTGTAGAGAAGCTGCTTAATATTAGGCTCTGCTAGCCTCGCATTTTGGTACTGAAGGTGCGCCGGTGGGCCATACCTTTATACATGTAACCTACGTAAGCTAGACGTTTACGTGATATTTATAGTACTGTTAACATAGTTGTAAAAGTATCAAATTTAGTGTGAAAATAACATGGCAATGTGGCCTAGCATAGATAATAATGGCAAGAATGTATTACGTTTTTCTGAGATAAATATGTTGATCTCGATTTTGCAGAAAGTTATAGTAATCATAGCGTTCTACTTTCGTGCTAAAGCCTCTTCGATAATTAATAAGCAATATTGTTTATTAACTTCGTGATGTTAACAAGTAGAGTATATAAGCGGCTTCGTTATTTCTCTTAATTAATTCTTATATCTCTAGATCTGTATAATTTGTCTACTCTTGCAGTTCTATTATAACTTAGTCAGACTACAAAAACTCATATGTTGTAAGATAATTACTTTCTATCCGAAGACTTCGTTACAATACGAATATAAACTGTATGTTTGGATTAATGATTTGAGTTTTAGTCTATATCAAACATTGAAATATGTTACTTAAGTATGTTTTAAGATAGATACAACACTAAATGCGCATACAAAACAAATTTTGGCCCTACTACGAATAACTTACTATTATAACATGTCACACCAACATCTTGGCGATATCCTCAATAATGAAACTTCCCGACCGTCATTGGAGCATGCAACTAAGATTTGTAACTGGAAGAACGCAGGTTAGCAAGCCAAATTGGTCCCCTTCCAATTCCATATCGATTGCCATATCTAATATTACGTGAAAATCCTAATTGTCGGCAGATTACGTTAGCATCTATAAGATCAAAGTAACTGTTGCATATAGACCCATGTACCATTATGCAGAATTTCGATTCAACCAGTTGAATTTAACCCATGGTTATTAATTAGGAGGATTTGTACAGCTATCTGCCTCTTTAGCTATCTATGCGTGGACTTAAAAGAGTAATGTATCAATAATACAATTGTAAATACCATAATAAAACTTGAAATATAATAAATAAGAATATAATATGACTCGATAAGAACAGTAGCAAACTATTTAGTTTATATTTTGGCCATACGTATAATAAAGTGAAAACGAATTGCTTGATGAAAAGCCGGTCAAAAATTTATAAATATAGTCTACTTATGTAGAGTTTTAACATACGTTACTGGACAATTGTAATTGGATATGAAATAGAAGTGTGCTTATAGTACAATACAACTGCACTTCTATTTAATGTCGAACGCTGGAAGGTGCTGGACATTTTCTTAATCAAGTTACTTCAATCTTGTAGCATAATCAGTTAATTGGCTATTATTTGTAATCAGTCGTTTCTAATATAGGGATTAATTAAATCATCTAATATTAGCATCACGTTAATATCTTTTCTTAAAAACCCTAACTCTATCAGATAGAGTTACTGTGCAATACTATCAAATATGAGTTGCACTATATTTGTTGCCAGCCACAATTATGATATTCCCTACAGGTTTTGACGACAGCTAGTTCAAGGATATCTGGCATAATTGTCAATGTTTCATTACTAAATACAAACATTTCATAAAATTGAATTGATGTCACGCTCTGCTTAGAATAAACTACGACGTAAGATAGTGTAGAAATGATTAAAAACATCTCATCTATTTGGCCTATTATGCTTATGTTTATTTAAGCCTCCATAACGGACAATCGCTGAATAATATTTCCATATTGAATATTAAATACACACTCCTATTATTATTCAGAGCTAAAAGCAACTACTAATTGAGAGCTTATGTATTGTATAGCAAAATTGTTTTCCATGCATTCCATTGCTATTGTATTGGCAGATAATGTTAAAGTGATTGCTAGGTGTTTTTTTGCTCGAACTCCGGTTTTATTTCTATAATGTATTACGAACAAGTCAGAACTTATTGCTCTAGTAACGGTATATATTACAGGCTGCGTTGATAGCCGTTTAGTACTTCTATTTTCGCTACATCTTGACATAGTTGAAAAACCTTGGTTGCGACATAAAATGGCGGGCTACGGTCAAAGTATGGTGAATAATGCCAATACAGCACCAACGCGTTCTTTAATAGTAGTGTGCAATTTATCGATTGCTGCTCTTGTATTTTCTTCCGTGATTCTTACTCTTGGAATATTGGCAATCTTTATTCCTTATGTCGCCTTATTTTGTATAGGCATGATCGTGTACTTTAATTGCTTTTTGGGTAGCAGGACCGGTATGTTGAATTTTTATCATTTAAGATATTGTAACTGTCTGCAATCAGTATATAGGCCTCAATATTGAGATGATTACATCACAGCAATAAAAATGCTGCCATAGTGTATCTTGAACACTGTCGTATTTCTTAAATGTTTGCTTCTTTCATCTGTAAAATTGGTATATTCATAAATTGTGTTCTCCGTATAAATATGATGTTACTGAAAAATTGCCAAGGATCGCTACCAAGTCGGAAAGATTGCATTATTGACGATGTTATTTTACTGCGATATAATTATTTTTCCATCGCTATTACAGATAACTCACTAATAACGACAAGCATTAGAACTATGAATACTTGTTGCTTTTCCATCCATGTTTCAGTTACTGTAATTAGCAATTAGTAATACTCGTACATGAAGCCGTAGTCCATTTTATTTTCTACTGGTGCTGTCTCTCAAAATGCCGTTTTACATGTGCCTGACAAATGAATTTCTGTTTGAAAGTTCTTCCCTTACAGTTGATCTGTAATATTGTAGTAGGGTATTAGTGTCTTATTATCCATTTCTGCTATCATACGAACCGGCATGATAATTTTTCACTGTCACTACTATACAATAAGTGATTCACCATCAAAATTCTACTGGCTCCATCAGAAAACGCAATGTTACGATGCTAGGTTACGTATTTTGCTAATTGGTTAGGTCTTCTAATATTACTTTGCTAATGGATTACATTTAATAATTGTTAATTGAAGATAGGTTTATTAATTAATATCTAAATTGTTAGATGACAAAGCTTTAATTGTACTTTGTCGAATTATTACTAGAGCCAGTATATTAATTATGTAAAATATCGTATGGTAAATTGCTATGCTTGCAGCATAAGTTTATAGCAATGTATAATAGGACGAGCAATTAATTGCTCGTTCCTCAGTTCGTTGTTTGATAGTGCACAGGATGGCACTCGCCTACTCTACTAATAAACTAAACTAGTCTTGTAGAACAGTCATATTTTTGTGCGACAGAAAGTAGTTTAGTACCAACATACATTAGATCTTCAGGTGTAGTGGAGCTACGGACAAATAATCGAGAAGATCAGTATGGGTGTGCACAAGACTAAATTGTGACTCGTGGTAGTAAGTTACTGTTGGTATCTCGACAGAGGCATTGTAAAATGCAGAAATATAGACATAGATCACTCCATTTTTGGTCCTCGGTCTAAACTCAATTATTGAAGACACTTTTACAGTAATTGATTTTTGGTTGATTGATCAAAACAGGATAAAAGATGAGTTTGTAAAGAATGTTTTTTTTGAGTATTAAAAACAACAAAATAATTTGACTTTGATTGATGTTAGGAAAATTACCGCGCTAATTGGATCCCTCTACTGTATTGTCTTCTTTAATATCAATTACGACACCCATCAAAAGAGTTCATCTATCGAGTACTCAACTACTCATTCGATCTTAAATCAGCCACTCTCTATACTTTCTGCGATGTTATAAAACTTCTCATTTAGATATTCACTATTTTCTTAATATATAAATCTATCGCACACTCTAATGTCATAATTACTGACTCACATGTTGTATGAAGAATAATCCGGTTCGCTTTTATACTTCGAAAAGAATTAATAGTTCTTGACGGCTAAAATCAATAATCTTTGTAATAATAACTTTTATTGTTTTACATCAAGTTGAAATTTTAATTATTAGGACGTACAAAATGAATAAACAAGTAAAGTAAAATTACCCTTACAAAGCGAGTGCTAAAACATAAAATAAAGTAATGGTTGAACGATATCCCAAGCTTTCAATTTCTAGTCAATACAAAATTAGTTATTTCTTCTATAGCCAGGGGCTTCAGCTACTTGTAACATTTTAAAATATGAAAATATAAGTTGCCTTTAAACAACGAGTGCTCCAGTATGAATTAAAGTCAACTTGCGACTGATAAATCACTATATAATTATATAATTATATAAAATATTAATCTGTATCTTACCATGAGAGAACTTTTTCTTTGGCATTTTAACAACCTTCGTTGACATTCATTCGTTCATCATATAGTTCTATATTCAATAGGCTTAACTTTACATATGCCAGAAAAGATTTTCTTTAAAATATTTTACTGAGTTGGAAGCGATCAAGTCCAAGGCTTACCGATCAGTATCAAGAGATCAACTGTTATGTTCGCCAATATATTTGTTGAAATGTTCGTTATAAATTTATAATTTCTCGACATCGTGTTGGTCTATAGCTAGTATTAAAATATTCCTAACCCGACGATCAATTTATTCGTTAATGTGGTCAAAAATTTTTCATTTCTATAAGCGTTTTCTGCTTTTATTCTTTCAACATCGGGGAGTTTATGATTGACTTGAGTCCTTACATTTTTCTTCAGTAGTCCTCCATGAGTCAATTTGTTCTTGATTCACTACAACTTAGTGAAAATTGACTAGCCTTAATAATATAAATAAAACTTGAAAAATATCTTAACTGGAAATAAAATAGTTTATCATATAGAACTCAATTTTATCATGTTAATCTTTACATAATGTAGATATTAATCACCAGTATCTTGGGCATCTGTGCATACAGGAAAGGACTATATCGTCATGAAGTGGTGAGCAAAGCTATTTTTGCCCTTTTAGGACAATACTTTATATTATTGTCAGTAAAATTTTGCTATGCAAGTGCACGGAATAAATTTAAATTAAATGAATTTCACCTTATATAATTCTTACTGTCATTAAATAATCGATTGCTTGTTTCTAAAGTTCAATGTTCTTTTATTTATAGTAAAGTCTAAAACGATCTATCGGTAGTAGTAATATAGTAAGATATAAATTTCATGTTCTATCTACATACTAGTAATGATTACGAAATAAATGAAATATGATTACCCAAAGAAAAAAAGTGAAATCAATTTGAAATACAGTCATCTGTGTAGTGAATAAATTATTCAATTGGCCACCTTTTCATCATCATGAAGTGTAAGATCCTCAACGAAAGTATTTCATTATGCACTAGTCAATTTCTTAATAAAATTAAATAGCACTAAATTGTTAGCTAAATCAACGTAAATTACATTTATTTGCTGATAAATAAATTATTTAGTAGATCGATTACTCTATCTTACATAAATGAACGAGTTAAAATTATAGCAAAGGTTACATTTCTCACTTTGAAGTTTGATCGTATACCGTAGATCTATGAAAAATACTTAGTCCATTTATCCTCTCAACTTTTGTTTATGTACATTTATTTAAATTCAGTTAACTTTCCTCTTTAAAGCTTTACTTCATTAACTTTCCAGTAGTAATAACTATTACATTCATACCAATGATTGAGTATAATTCTAACATATGATAATTGGATTAAATATTCAAAACTGTTAAATTTTTGGTATAAATTCAATGTACCATACTGTCACAAAATAAATAACATGAACAACAGTTTGTAATAGAAATGCGACTGTTTCAAGTTTTAGTCAACATTTATTAATACTATACACCTATGTATGATTCCTTTCGCATTCGTCTATTTTACTATCAATAACTTAATCAAAAACGATACTATAATGTTTTTAATAATAGGCTATAGCGCACCTAGTGTTTTCTATCATCAGTGCACTTGCCTCTATTGGTGGACTGGTCATGACGATCATATCATTGGTTGGGATGACTGCTACAATCGTCCATCAATTTCAAAATGGCCTAAGTATTGGTCAGGCTGCTCAAGCAGTCACAGCCATAGCTTATGCTGGTACTGCCTTGGCTACTGCAGTTTACATTTTCTTCTTTTACTATTGCATACATGGTGCGGTTATCTTTTGCAAGGTGCCAAGGAAATTGTTAAACAATAGATACACCAACCTTTCAACCATGCCGGTAAATCAACAATTTTATAGCTAACTTTCTTTCAGTCATATTTAGTCATCTATTTCTAACTATATTCGAATTGATTATATTAACTTGTAGGTACCTTTGCAAGAAGATGCTGTAGCAGCAACTGGATACGTCAGAAATCCAGCGCAAGTGCCTTCTGTCAATTATAATTAGTTATTAACCCGACTATAGTCATTACAATTAACCTAGTGGTAATACTCACAAAATTGGAATTAATAATGTCCAGAAGGTGTAATCTTTGCTAAAATAAGCAATAGGCCCTAATACACGTAGATCCCTAGCTGATTTTTACATGGCGACTTTTATATTAAGGAATATTCTACTAGGCAGTTTTGATAAAGTAACGGTAGAATGAAACTTTGAAGTGTTTAATTCTAATTCCTTCCATACTACTGATCTTAATCGGTACTTAGTATTTACATTCTGGATTCGGTGATAATGAAATAAATTGTGTTTGTATCGATAAAGTTAACCTTACTGTGATTCTTTTGATAATCGTATCCTATATTGCCGGTGCATAATGATGCAAAAGGCTACAAGTAAATTATATCTTTACTTCAAAGACTCTACCAATCAGATTTTGGGTTATGTGTCACAGGCTACTTCCTGACAAGTTCACTCGTCTAACATAAAGCACTTACTTTGAGTTGCTTGTACAGATTATTACCTTAATCTGTCGAAAGATCTAGTAAGAATATGTAACAGTTACTACAACGCCTAAGAACTACTGTGCCATTCTAAAAGGCTCACAATCAATAGATACGCTGTACTACAGCCTACAAAACAGCTTTATTTGGTGAACTCACCACTCACTACCAATCAACTGGCAAAATCAACTGATTAAAACCAATAAATGCACTCATAAATGAACGTTTTACTAAATAGAGAAATACAAGATACATTTTAATGAAGTAATTAGATGTAAGGATAAATTATTTATGAAAATAATCTTCTCTAAATTATGAACGCTATCACGAAGCCTTAGCGGCTAGTATCTGTCTCACTGTTAGAGTGCATTAGGATATTAGTTACTAGAGGAGTGAACCATTCACAAAGAAGAAAATTTGTGACAATCACATTACAAATAACGTTCATAGCTTTAATTTTCGAATTAACAAGAGTGATATTGATTTACTAGAGCACATTAATTCCTACCGTTAAAAGTGCAACAAGTCATGGCATTTCCTATACTTAACACTGAAACACTATGAGCAAGACTATTTTCTTAAACTCTATAGTTTAAGCAACGTAGAGCAGTAACACCAATTAACGTATTCAAGTAAATGATATTTCGTCTCCAATAATTATCCTTATTGTAGTTTATGATATATTGTAAATATCGAGCAAAATAGCAGCTAAGTCATAATTTACTTTTCGCTATTCATGGACTATCTGGAATTCATAAAGCTACGTGTATTGCGATATCCATAATATTTGATTGCGTCATACGTTATAAGGTAGTGAACAAAGCAGTATGACTAGTTAACCTAATATTACTAAACTAGTTTTTAATTCCTTATAGCAATTATCTTAGATAGTCCGATAGTTGAGGTATCTCAGCGCCGCCATATTCAATACTAAACGACAAGAAATTGATGCATATATCTTTAGTAGCATATTACGCTAAGAACTCTATTTCGGATCATAAATAAATCACGTATAATCGGTAATAAGCTATCCCTGATAATTTCTTGCGTGGGATTTGTAAGAACTAAATTGTAATAAGCTATAAAATTTTCCCATTGTCATGAATACTGAGATCAGCCACGAGCTATTCTTAGTTAAAGGCATGAACGAGAAAACGCCCCCTATCTTATAGAATTTCTTCCTAACCATAATCACTAACAGGCTACTGGCTAGTTATGCTTCGCTAGTAATTTATTTCAATTTTTGTAATTACTGGTAGTTATCTTGTACTGTCTAATTAAAGTATAACGTGGCGGCAAATGCGGTTTAATTATACGAGAGAAATATAAACAAGTAAACCGTGTTTGATTTCTATATTTTTACTAAATTAGCTAATTGATGTCTTGAAATCTAAAGACGCATTATCTCGTTGTTGTTGAACGAATGAACAAGTAGGCCAGTCACTTAGTTTCGATAGTCATGCATTGTTAATGTTTAATCAAATAAATTACTTTTACGCTTTAACATGTTAAAGTCTATATGACGTAATTTTAATTGCGGTTATTAATAACAAAGAAGGGGTTGGGCCTACAAAAATGAAGTCGTAATCTCTGTCAAGATTAAATAAAGTCGAAATGGATTCTTGAAATGGATTCTAATGTTAGGCATCGTATTTCAATGGCGATATTTTAAAATGGCTCACAGGAATCGATCTATGCCTATATGGTTCATTTGTACAGAGAAAATCAAGATTATGATAAGGATACCATAAAAATAGATTTCGATCGATTCCATTCTATCCTTAGAGAGTCTTTCATTCGTGTGATCTGGTTAGGTTATCAGTCAATATGAAAGCTAGAAAATCAATGAAATATGGACTTCAGCGCCAGCTTCTACTATTACGCTAGCAGTAATTATTGCAGCTGACGCAAATAATTCGTAGAAATACCGACAAAATCACAAATATTAATTCTTTATATGAAATTGAAGATAAACAATGTATCAAAGTCATCAATGCAAATGGTGAGGCTAATAGTAAGAAGGAGCAAAAGTCAAGTAGAGACGAAATTCATGACAAAGAATTCATAGAAGCTAAGAACACGGCAAGTAAAAATGAAATGCACTATCGTCTAGATAGTAATAGCATTGGATATTTGCTATATACAGCAGTGTCGATAATCAGTTAGAAGATATCTTACCAGCAATGGGTGTTAACGTGAAGGATAATCGTAGGCCTTTAGGTGCACAAATGATCACATCGATAATCCAAGAAAAGGTTTGGTATCTATAGCGGATTTTAAATATGAAGGTGATTCCAGCTCTTCGAAGAGTTCAGATGTTTTTAAAAATCATTTTAACACAGAGAAGAGATTAAGGGCACCATCATCCATAAGTAGTAACCGTTTATCATTCAAACCATTAAACTTGAAAAGACCTATTGGGTGGGCTACGAGTTAATATAGTAATTTCGGAAATCTAGAGTAGTATTTTATCAGCTATCACTATAGTAATTAATTGCTACTTTTATTTGGAATACTTTTAGAGTAATAAGTTGATAGCATGATAAAGGAATGCAATTTAGTAGCTTGGAGAAAAGTCAAAGAAATTGTTAAGAAATTTAGTTCTTACGGAATGCTCCTTCCTTCAGTGATTGTGGGTAATTTGAATTTGTAATTTTGATAGTTTGATTGGCTACAGCACTATTTGATAGTCTCTTCGTATTAATTAATACCTTAAATTCTAATGGTTATACTTATAACATGCTTTCATCGCAGTCCATATACCCGTTTATAGATGAAGATTAAAGGTATTTCCTCCAATAAATTAAGCGCGTTCAAATCAGTACTGCTACAGTTGTAGTAAATTAAAAAATTTTCTCAATATTTCTGATATAAAGGTCTCAATTGTAGTGAACTGGAATTCTGCTTGTCATTTATTGGATGCCTACACCAGAAATAATTTGTAGTTTATTTATCTAGGCATGTTGAGGGTGGCTCATTTACTGCCTTGTATGTTAATTAAAGCTAATCATGACTAAAATATTGTAAAGTAAATTTGAATCCAAAGTAATTCTATACTGTACTTTCATAGGGCAGATTATTACAGACATATTGTAGATACAAAGGACGAAGACTTGAAGACTTATTATTTTTCCTATCGTTTTAGTGACACTACCATGGTAACTATTATTGAGCACTAGTAAGCTAAATAAGATACTTAGATCATGCTTATACAATAATTTTGTAAGTTAAAAAGCAATAACTGAAATATAAAACAATAATAGCGTATAGTTCGCATACATATCAATCCAGATAAAACAGTCTACGAATATCCAATTAACAAGAAAATTTTAATATATGCAGCAGGGATTCATCCTATCTTGGCCAGTAATATAATGGTCTATATTGCCATGTAAATATTAATTTTAGCAATTGTAACTGCCAAAAATATTCTAACCTTGAAAACCCTTCAGAATTTAAGAAATGAATAAAATACCATAGATTACATATAGAAAATTTAAACTTGAGCAAACATTTTATTATTATGCCTTTACTTACTAATGCAAGGGATAGTATTTCAATGGCGATACTTCAAAATGGATCAGAGGAATCGATCTATGTCTATGCAATTCACTCGCGTGAAGGAGATCAAGGTCGTGATGAGGACATCATAGAAACAGATTTCGGTCTTCTCCAAAGTATCCTTAGCGAACTTTTCCATTCATATAATCTGGTTAGATTATCAGTCAATATGGAAGACTAAAAATCTGATCAAACATGGACTCCAGCATCAATAACAGCCATTATGGAAGCAGTGATTATTGTTTATGACTGTACAAAATTCATAGATATGCCACCGAAATCACCATTATTACTTACTCATGTGACAGCGGAGATGGAACAATGTATCAAAGCCATTACTGTAAGTGGTAAGGCTAATGACAAGAAGGAACTAGAGCCGACCAGAGAAGAAATTCATGATGAAGAATGCATACAAGCTGAGGACAGGGCAAGTGAAAATGAAATGAACTACCGGCTAGACATTGATAACATTGGATATTTGCTATATACAAAATGAAATATCGATGATCAACAAGATGATATCTTACCAGTAATGGATATTAACATAAAAGATAATCCTAGGCCTTTAGATACGAGTGATCACATCGATAGCGCACTAAAAGATATAATGTCCGCAGCAGATTTTCAATTTGAAGATGATTCCATCTCTTTGACGAGTTCAGATATTTCCATTGAAAATCATTCTAGCAATATGAAGAAATTAGTAACGCTATCACAGAGAAGTAATGTCCGTTTTACCATTCTACCCATCAAATTTGAAAAGACCCATTGAGCTATATTGTTGATTAAAAGGATAGTTAAGAAAGATTCTTCAGAGAATTTTATAACATTCTTTTTTGATCCACAGGGCCGAGATAAAAATAAACTTGGCGCCGTAATATCTTATTTAGAACTAGAGAGGGTTAATAACCTTTCAATAAAGCTATCACAGGAAAGTGGTAAAAATCTCGGTACATGGTTAATAGTAGCAGTAAAAGTTATCATGCAAGAAGCCGAAAAAATGTCGAATGAGGAATTGATGGCAGAGATTGAACGTAAGCATCGAGAAGAAATAGAAATCCAATACGAAGATGGGTTAGATACAGAATGTGGAAAGCCAGGCTATTTAGTTAAAATACAGTTTGACAATTATAGAGTTAAAAATCTGGGTAAATCATTCTGTTGGCGTAATATTCCTATGTTAGCTGTTATTACCGGTAAAAACGGTAGCGGTAAAACAGCAATTCTAGAAGCTATACTACAAGGGTCAAAAAGTAAAAATTTCGACATCACCGATTTAGATACATCACTGCTAGCAAGTACGCAATCAATGCTTACAGAATTTAATCATTTAAATGGAATCATTTCCATGATATCAAGACGAAGAATTAGATCCAATAAATCATCAGTTCGTCCAACCTTGTCATACCGAAGAAACGTTTCGCAAATCTGTTACCTCAGTTCTAACTCTGAGGAGAAAAGCTTCGCTCCCAATTCCATTCATGATCAAAAAGGCGACAACAAGAATCCCACTATAAAGGCAGTTACGCGAGTATCCGATGATTTTGAACAAAATTTTAATAAAACATTAGAGGACATAACAAAGCGCCGTATTCTAGGTGAAAGATATCAGATGGAATGTTCTAACCATGAAGAACTTTATCGAAAAATCATAGACAAGGTCTGCGATGCTACGATGAAATTAGGATTGACGAATACAGCAGAAATTGAAAGTAAACTTCAAGAAAAGCTAGCACAGTATTTAAGGGAGGAAATTGGACAACTAATCAAGACCTACGGTTCATGGAAAGACTACATACGCTATTTTTTGCAAATGGATAACACGCTTTACGATGTCAATAGACATTTACATAAAAATAGATTTAAGTATGATATAAATATAATTGAGAATGAGGAATTAATATGCCAAAAAAGAGTACCTTTCAGCATACCTGTTTTTCAAGTTCAACTATCTCCCGCCGAACGGTTAGAACTGTTATCGTTGTTGTGGCTATTCGGAAGTAAGAATTTGGCAAAAACCAATGTTAGCGGAATCATTTTACTCGATGAACCGGATGCCCATCTTCACCCAAGTTTAGTTAAAGACATCATTGAAACGATTAAATCTAAATTGATATCCAAGCTTGGTATTCAGGTTATTATGACTACTCATTCCCCTACAACAGTCAGTCTTGCACCCGAAGGCAGTGTCTATATCCTGTCAGAAGATAATATAACCAAAGAGGCCAAAATTGAAAAGGCTGCTAGTAAGCGGTAAGCAATACAATTATTAACTGCAGAATTTGTCCATGTCAATTTACCTTTTCGAATCGTCTTCGTTGAAGCTACTGATGATAGAATATTTTACCAAATGATTCAAGACAAATTAACTAGTGAACGCTTAATCGCGAATGATTATCCGTTGCTGTTCATGTCTGCTAGCAGGCAGAAAAAAAGGCAAGACCCTTCAGATAAAAGTGGCAGTAAGATGATTGAGAATTCATGTCGAGCTTTAGTGGAAAATATTGTGAAATGTTGTGTCAATGAGGAAGATGAAGATCAGAGTTTAAGGGAATTTGTATTTGGGCTAGTTGATAACGACAATCAAGAAGATCCCCAATTATATAATATTCAATGCTTAAGGAGATATAGTATAGAAAACTATCTTTATGATCCAATTTATATATATTATTATTTGAGAGACCGCAAGAAAGGAGAAGAAATCCAAAAGGAAATAAATCATAATCTTTCTGCAACAAAACATCCTGATTGTTTATCTGGATTTTTCGGCAAAGGAGACACTGCTGATTTGGCCAAAGTATTGCAAGAAATTATCAACGTTATAACCAAAAAGCTAGTTGATGCGATAGAAGAATTCATCAAAATCCAAAAGAAATTTAAAGAGTGTCTTGAAAACTTGGTATTACTGCATGAAGATCTTGAAAATGAGACAGGAGTATCAAATAAAGAATTGATAATGAAAGATTTCGAGGAAACCTGTAAAGTTGTTTGTAATAAAGGGAAGCTAGTAGAATATGCGAAGAAAATCCGTGAGAGTACAAAATGCAATGATGTCCTAAAAGAGCTAATCGTTTATGCCCGAAAAATTGTCAAGTCTATCGATAAATTAAGGAGTAACAGAAATGATCTTTTCAAGAAGAGAGAGGATTCACACGACGTTTATGAGCTGATAAAATCAACAGAAAATGTGTCTTTCGGGAATGGTATTACTAGTACCTTGTCTTATCCTAAAGTAATATTAAAAATGAGAGGACATGATTTAGTGACTTTTTATACTGCAATTTATCCATCTCTACCTAAACTCAATTCAGAGATGATTGCCTTCCTAAGAAGGTGTAGCCGAATTTTGATACCAGAAGATTTGATACCAATTTTTAAGTCTCTTCAAATACCGGATATTGAATTGCAACGTCAATGTACCACAAGAGCGAGTAGAGAGGATGCAGAGAGAAGTGATACTCAATTAATGAAGAAAGTGGACCGACAGAAAACTCAGTTGAGAGAGTTACAAAAGAAACTTGATAAGATTAAAAAGCAAAACCAGGCTTTAAATGACTGTCTAAATCAAGTTGAGGAAAAATTAAATTCCGGGGAATCCCAAGAGGTGCATACAGATGTACTTCATTACATCGTTAATAAAAGAAAGAAATTGATAGATGAAGGACAGGAAAGTAATGGTTCAGGTGACGAAACTAACGGTCATGATAGAATTGTGAATGATTTCTCGACTTAATAAAGAAAAAGAAGCAAATCATTTTTATAATAATTGAAAGTCTAATATTCCACTAGCGATAACTGCAAATATAATCAATCGAAATAACTCTTTGATGAAAACTTACTGTAATTTGTTAAAGAACTCGTATGCAAAGTTAGCGACATTAAGATATGGACTATCCAATTTTATTGATGTTCAAATTTTAAAATTCTTCTGAAAGACTCACTAATTCGTGCGCATTCAATTCTTAATGGTATATTCCAACCATAAGCGTATAGTATTTTATTTCATGGTACGAAACCATTAAGAGTTTCAACGCAAGAGCGTTTCGTAAATGATTACGATAATCTACGTGAAGATGGAACAAGAAAGCAATTATTTTCATTGACGGCAAGATACCGGAACTTTATTAGTTGACAACATTTCGCCTATAGGTAGAAATTGTATGTAGAAGAAAAAAACGATAGCTGATAGACTATAGCAGCTACAGTATTGGCCATACCAATTTTAGGATTGCATTTAAATTTCCAATTGCAAGGTCTTATGCACGCTTTTAATGGTAGATTTCACATCTACTAGCAATTAGCTAGTGCCTATGTATCTTTTTACCACTAAGTCTCTAGGCCGATATTTCCTTGACAATCATGGACAGATTTTTCTAACTATATGTTATAGATACAGATAATGCTAGCAACTTGTTCTATTTCATCTTTAATTGAAAATCGAGCTACTCGTTAATTCACTGTCTAATTATAATGAAAGTTAATAACTAGAATTCTTCTTCATAAAATTGTATTGTACAAGTAATTTTTGTCTTTACGAAATCGACGGTTAGTGATAGGTATTATAACATACGGTAGCGTTTATAACTGTGGCTAATTTAGTTTACTAATGCAATAAATGTTATCTTATAGTATGTAATGAAAGTTGGGTTTAGGATTCTCTTTCTAGTTTTTGTATTGTAATAAGCACTGTAGCTTAAATATTAACTTATTTGTTTGGTTACACTAGATATTACTTAGTATTTTTAGTATATTGTGAACCCGACTACTTCATTCTGGCAAGAATTTAAGAATATTCGGTAACATTATTTTGTTAAGAATTATACGATGTTAGATTGTAATTTAAGTTTTATTTAGTTGGCATTTCATGAGTGCTTTAGTTATGATACACAACAACATACGCATATAGCTAATTTGATTATAAATACAGCAGAACTTATTTTACTTCACGATAGAACACAATAAGAACCCGAACGTTCTGATCTGCGTTCATATTTAAGATTATCGGGCCTGTCTTGGTATATTTTTATAGATATATTCCGTATGGCGTAGTTAATGTAGTAATTTCAGGAATCCAGAGTAGTGTTTTATCGGCTATCACTACAGTAATTAATTGCTAGTTTTATTTAGAATACTTTAGAGTGATAAGTTAATAGCTTGTTACCACAAACTATTCTGTATAGCTTATGGAAGGTAGCGTTGTTTAGTAGTGTAAAAGCGATGACGTGTAGTGAAGAAGGTAAAGGTCAGGATATACCTAAAATCATAAGTAATCTCGCATTTTCTTGATAGTTTGATTGATGAAGGCAGTAGCTCTGTCCTTCTCTAATTCTTTTAAGTAATTTTGTAAGATTATTATTAACAGTTACAATAAATTGGGTTTTCCGCTAAAGTTAACTTAAGTTGGTATTCAAAGCTGTTTCTTTTAATTTAGCCGTTTGGAAATGTGTCCATTCGGTTAATATAGTATCGCATACGTTAAAAGTATCAACAGAAATTAATACATGATAAGTTTTCCAGCTTCATGTAGAAGAGAATGATAAGATAAATTCTATCTAAGCTTGTGTGATTAGTTGCAATAATAGAACTAGAAATGCTTAAACAGTAGAATAAAATTATGACTTCGAAGTTAGACAAATACAATGACGCAGATTAGTATGAAAAAGGAATGCAATTTAGTGGTTTAGAAGGAGAGAAGTCAAGAAGTTATTAAGAATTTCAAATGATACGGAATACTCCTTTCCTTCGGTGATTGTGAGTGATTCGAGTTTGTAATTTTTGATAGTTTGATTTGCCACGGCAGTATTGGTGCTCTCTTGTATTAATACTTTTAATTTCAATGTTTATACTCATATCTTGCTTTTATCGTAGTCCTTTTACCCGTTTATTTGTCATTAAAATTAAAGGTATTTTCCTCTATAAATTACGTGAGCTCAAAGTAGAATTCTGCTTGTCATTTACTGAATGCCTTCATCGAAAATGATTTTGTAATTAGATACAACCAGGCATACTGAAGTTGGATCTTTTTCTACATTGCATGTTAATTAAAGATTATCATAACTAAAAGATTGTACAGTGAAATTGAGTCCAAAGTAATCTTATACGGTACTTTCATAGGACTTATTATTACAGATCCTTAAAAGATGTGCTGTTTTTCATATCGTTTTGTTAATACCACTACGGTAACTTTTATCGAGCACTACTAATAAGCTAAACAAGATACTTAGATCTTGCTTATACAATAATTTTATATGTTAAAAAGCAATAACTAAAATATAAAATAACGATAGAGTATCGCTCACTGTTGCAAATCTCCTTTGTAACTAGAAAACGGGTCTTAAACACTATCTTTACTAGTACTCGTGTTCCCAACTAACTTAGGGACCTATCATACATAGTTGAACTAACTCTCAGCTACACAAATAAGCTACTAATGAGTAATAGGTTTAAATACTTCACTTTATTTACGTTAATCTTAGTCGTAAAATATACTAAAGAAAAACGTAAGAATCTTCTTAGCAATAATAGTCAAGTGATCCTGCAAGTGACTAAATAGAACTGAGCAGCTGAGCTAGTGCTCGGCTTTTTATAGTCTCGGCCTACGCCGAAGGTGTATCCTAGTATAGGAGTTCACTTAGAAGAAGTTAACATAGATCAGTATAAGTCAAGGCTAATTAACATTAAATGAATTAATGCGCCAACTAGAGCCCCAAAGGCTCTGCAAAGTAATTGCACCTTACACTTAAGGTGTTATTAATTAATGTTTACTGACTAAGCGTGTTAGCTCCGACACGTCAACAGAATTGAACTTTCTGATACCTTGGCAATTACAAGTACTTATTAATAAACATTAATATCTAATAAGCTACTGGAGCAAACAACAATTTAAATGAGATATTGTAATTAACATAGCAATTAATATTTCGGAGCATGGCTCCGTAAACACTTACATACATGTCAATTTAGATAAAACAGTCTACAAATATCCAATTAACAAGAAAATTTTAGTATATGCAGTAATCATAGGTCCTATCTTGATCAGTAATATAGTAGTCTACACCATTACCATTCAAATATCAATTTTAGCAATTACAACTGCCAAATACGTTGTACGTTTAGGTATATGCTAACTTAAGCCCTGACTAAAATATAAATATGTCTCCAAAGTAATTTTATAGACATCTAGATAAAGTGCTTTGAGATAATATTCCATAATGAAAAAAGATGATTATTGCATGTACCTTAAATACCATACTCTACTAAGAAAGGCTACTTTAAATACTAAAAGCTGAATCACATATAATCTACACCAAGTTATCCCAGCCAGCTTTTATGTGATAAGTGTAAGAACAGAATGGTAAATAATATAAAAATTTCAGTTTTCAGCAGGTACTTATTTCAGAATCCAGATATTTTTGATACAATGTATAGACTGCTGAATGAGAGTTCGTATCTCTAGTTCTAAAATTTCTTCCTAATTGTAATGATTTCACAAAATTTAAATAATAGCAATTAGTATTATGAAACATAGATTGCGATGTTTATTTAAAAGTTACGATAGTATCTGGTACCTGAGTTCATCAATTTCAGCATTAAAAGGTAAAATTTTATTTTCTACCACGTTAAGAAAAGACCATCTCCTTTCAAATTGATCTCTAAAATGGATTAGCTTCGATTCCACCGTGCCATTGAAAGAAAAATATAATCTAGTAGTATAAAGTAATCACAGCAAGATTTATCATCATTATTGGTGCAAGATTTTTACTTGACACATTTCTTTATCACAATATTCATACATCCTTATTTGATTGAATATTGCTGCCACATAGCGTGTAATATTGTCCTTTAGGTGATTGGAGATAAATTTATCCAGCTAATAAATAAACAGGATGTAGTTAGGCACTCAGCATGAGTTTAGTAGAAATGTGTACAACGTATATTGTATGGAATGAATAATACTTGTTGCTTAAAATTTTTTCCTCGTTCTTTGGGATCAATATGTTTGGCACCAAGATAGACACCAGTACCAACAGCTCCGATAGTGGATAAACTCTAATTGATATAGATTTAAATTAAATTAATTGATAATTTATGTTTGGCTGCAATAGTAATGTCAGTAAATAGGAACTAATATGCTTACCGCTGAAATCAAACCAGTGGCTATTCTTTTTGCCATAAATCCAGCTGCAGATGCCGCCTAAAAAATTGATTACAATTAGAGTACTTTCTAGTATGTAAGAGGAACAAATGTCAATTTTAGTTGATAATAAACTCATAGTGCACATAGCCCATCCTTAACCTCTAAATTATTATCTAATCGAAATCTGAGTTCTAACCTAACACCAATTATTTTGTCAAAATTAACTTTAATTGTCAATTCGAGAGAATTTCCTTGATTAGTGTAATAATTATCTATTTAACTTTAATACACCTTTGATAAATTATCTTGAGAAACAACAGATATCTTCATAAGTAATTATAAGCACAGCAAGAACTAGTGCTTGATTAACCAACCTTAAGGTTTACCGGTAGCTATTAATTATATCGTAGTTGGCTAAGAAAGTCGTTAACTTTAGAATTACGATATGCTCGCGGTGTGTTATTTATTTTCTGTGGTGTCAACAGTAATTTGTTAACTAGTAACTACGCTCGAATATTCTTGCAGTTATTAAATTTTTAGTGCAACATTACGAATAAAATTGAGGTACAATTAAATCCTAACCAGGCCTGAAATTTCAGCTGGTAATAAATTTTTCTTTATTGTGGAATACAAGCTCAAGTCCTCCTCAAAACGAGCTAGATAATCATGGCAGTTTATAATACCATAATCCAGACCTTCTCGGAAGTCTCTGTAAGTTTTTAGAGTAGAATTTGATTTAGCCAAAAGGAGAAAAATATTATCCAAACAGGTAGAGTGATAGATATTATTAACATTATGACATTATTAATTAGAAATAGAATAGAGTAGGCGAAGCAATGTCTACATATGTATATATATTTATTTAATAATCGGAATACTAGAAAATGGAAAATAGCTATAAAGAATCGATAAAGCTTCTTTAAGACCAAGTTAAAACTAAAATTAAATGGTTTGTTTGCTACAGTAAATGCTTAAAAATTTTCACTTTAATTTTACTACGCTTATCAAGTCATGCCAACTTTACAACTGCAGAAAATTATTCTAATTTACAAGGGATAATGCATAAATATTGATAAGGTTATTTTAATGGGGGTTGTCGCGAGACCTAATAAAATATTACTAGTGGTACTACATAATTTTTCGTTTATAGTCTAGGTATTGAGATCTTACAATGCCTGTATCACTTGCAAGATATCATCATTCTGCTTTAGTTGTTCTGTTAATCTTGCTAAAAATATGAAAGTATTTGTTAATTTCAGTACGCGAAAATATGTAAGGCTATTTATTTCAATAAAGGATTTCAAAATACTACACTACAATATAATACCGTATAAATTTGATATTAATTGATAGCGGATTTCATCAAAGTTATTCTGATATAATTCTTCCATTTCAACACGAAATTTTATGTTAAGATATTCACCTAGTCTCTAAAAGTTCAAGAATAAATCGATTTACAGCTTCATTCGCTGAATTTACATAATGTTAAATATTAGTGTAATAGTAGATTAATTACGGTAGTAGTTTTCTAAAAGTCACTATTTTACTCTACTGTTAACTCTGATTAACTTTAATAGTTTCGGCATCATAGCAGTGGAACGTTTTATAATGATAATTTGTGGTTTAATAAATGGCTAACATTTCCAAAATCACCTTAGACAGGTAAGTTACAATATTTAATAACTACCACATCATATATGTCGACAGTTAAGATTAGATAATGTAATAACATACGATTATAGCTAAGATAATTTCTAACCCTTTTATATTGCGTCATTTCTTGCGCAAAATCTAATGGATGTGATTGCAAAAATGTTTGAATCATGCCTTCAACTTCGTAACAGAGAGACTGAATAGCTGTATTCACCTAATTAAAAATGCATAAAATATTAGCAGAGAATATTATGCTGTAAGTCCGAGAAAAATCGTGATAGTATGAATATTATAAAATGTAACAATATTAGAGATTTTATTAATTATAAATAAATTTTTAATTGTATGTATACTATAAGTACAAATCGAAGGAAATTAGTATCACAATGACTATGACTGTATAATGCTCTCGGAATATTTACAATTTACTTTAATGTCAGAGACACTAACAGTCGTAGGATTGTCTAGCGCATAAAGATTAAATCAAATTTTATTGACCTTATGACATATTCTACAATAAAATAAAATCATGAATATTGCAAGGCCTAGAAATAACTACACTAAAAGAATTTTTTCTTTTAGTTTTAGACGTTAAAGAGATCTATTATAATACTCTACTGCACTTTTATGTCGTAAAATTAATCCTAATCAATGTAGGATAGTATTTGTACTAACAAGACTAACGATCGTACACAATTTCCTATTTGCTGAGATACTCATTATAACACACAATTAATAACTTTTAATGAGGGGTTAATTGAAGAGAAATTAGATCAAAAAAGTAGTGTTCTAACAGGATTTCACTTATCAATAATACACCTGCAAACGTTATTTTATGCAGACTAAATACAATCCAAACTGCTGGACTTAATCAATTAATAATTAATATTTACATCTTTATAGATTTTAGCTTCAAGAGATTTTAGCTGGCTTTCCATCCATCTATGTGTGCTAGAATTTAAGCACTGCGATACAGAACTTAATTTCTCATAGTATTTTTCTCTAGAAAATTAGAAAATACATGAGACAGTAATTGGGTGAGTCTATAAGATATATGCTAAACATGAAAATTGTCACATTAATGATAGGACAATTTCTTACCGTTGTTGAGAGATTTGAAGATAAAAATTATTGCCATCTTGCAAATTAATTTTCGAATTTGTACCCAAATCATTTGACCATCGCAATCTAATAGATTAGGAATAGATTTAGTACACTAAAATATCTCGAATTAATACCGCAGTAATGATATTATCCGGGATAACTTTTAAAAGCTTATACGAGGACTAGCTGCGTAAACTATTACTATCATTCTTTATAGTATAATATTAGTGGCATGAGTAAGTTCGATTACAGTGTACCCTTAATTTAAGGTTGAAAAAATTAGATTAAAATCGTAAATTCTGCAATCATATGAAATAAAAATAGTTCGAAGAGTATAAAGTTAGTAAGCAGCCATTCAACTGATTCTCTGTAACAAGCACCAATATCATTACCATATCATAACGAAAGAGAGAATAGGCCAAAATTTGCTTTCACTTACAAATTTTGTAGAATCATTTCACGAATATCTCCGTTGACTTCTATAACTTTATCCATACTTTGGGCTAATTTGGCTTTTCTTGTTGATATACAGACACGTTCCTATTTATATGAGAGAAGGAAAGGTTACCACTCACAGCATAAGCCATATAGTAAAAAATAGCAAACTTCTTCATTCTGAAATATCTTACTCGAATTTCTCTTTCAAAAGTTTCGAATGCTCTTAATCGTTCCTTTTCATTTTCATCTCTTAATTCTAGAAGAAAAAATCGATTGAATAATTAATGTTTGTAATTAATAGCTCTATCTTTTAACTCAAAGTACCGTAGTCCTTGCAAAAGCGCTGCTTTAATAGTTATATATAGCTGAATATTTTGAAGCAAGACTACATATTTTAAACTCTGAGAGAAAAGTTGAAACCATGTTATTTACCTTCAGATGTTAGTCCATTGACTTTAGCGGCCAAAGCCTAAAATAGACACAATTTATGAACCGTGGTTCGATTTTGCTCAATTACTCAGGCATTGGAATAATTATTAGGAAGGAATCCAAAATTCTATAATTTGTTCCATTCCATAACGACATCGATTTATTTTGAAGCTGCTTACCTCCTTGGAAGATACAAAGAAGACTCTATCGTTTAATCCGTTGAGGGCAATTTGCGAGTTGATTAAATTTTGGTTTTTAACCTATTAAACATTTCATGCACAAAATTAGCATTTCAAGGTATTCTTAGTTAATATTTCTATACCTCTACTTTACAGTCTTCGTTGTTAGTGCAAACTTAGTCAATCACATTATCATTAGGTCTGCTTAATTTAAGGTTCAGTACTGCTATTGTTTTTAGTAATTGCAGATCTCTGTAGCTCATATTAAAATCAAGACGTTCATATCTTGTCTATCGATAGTTACGATAGTTTATTATTAAATTGATTACCTCGTTGGCTTCGTCTTCAGAGCAATCATCTAACTCATCACAGTAATTGACTAAAATAAACATTTCGGCTTGATGATGTTGCATAAGCATCTTCTTAATAAATTCCTGATCATCTTTTTCAATCGTATCGTTGACATTAAGGAGATAGACACAGACATCTGTGTCTGCATAAAGATCTTTAATACTGCTGTCGATATTATCGTCAGTGCTACCACCAGGACTAAAAGTGAATAGGATAATCCTTTCGGTTAAATCAATCTCTGCACTACTACTATGACGAATCGCTAGCTACTACTAAACTGTTCATAACTTACGTATCCATAATTTCGATTTCCTCTTTTAGTATTTCATGCCTAAGAGAGGGAAATACCACCGGCTTAGAGATAATTTTTTGGCGATGAATAAAAATTCCAATAAAGTAACGCAAGAAATGGTCTACGCTTTAATCAATTTAACTAAATTTCTTGAAGCTGCAGTTACTGTAAGCTATGATTCCTTGAGTAAGTATTACACTCTGATGGATTCGGATATGACAAGAACGAGTTTCAAGAACACAAGTATGAATAGTAGCGTTAGTTTAATGTGCTTAAATAAATTTTTATTTCATTTCTATCCATTAGAATCAAATATTAGAAATTTCACAACGGATTGGCAATAGATGAAAATGACACAAACTTGTTCTTGGGCAAGAAAACGTTTATAACTTTCACTTCTTCGTTGCCTGATTGGCGTAAAGCTTTCATTTTCTTGGATAATTCCTGTATGCATAATATTAAAAAGCCTCTAAAATAACTAACTTTTTTAAAATTCATTCATTCTTTAATGTCTTTAATTTGGTCTAAAATCGAAACCTTCCTTAACTGTCAAATACGTACCTTTAGTGGTATTCTTTTCACGTTGTTATTGGCTTGAAAGTAACCCTCGTCCATTATATTTTCATCGTCTTGATCGCTACTTGTAGAAGAAGATTTTATTTGAAGAACTTGTTGAATTTAAAAGGCCTTCGGGGTCGAATTGTCGTAAGTTAAAACGTTCTTCTTTTTGAAAGGTTATTTGGTCGTTGACAGTTTTTAAGTCTGTCATTTATTTTATTAATACTTAAAGTTAAGTATTTGTAAGGTTGTTCGGTTTATACTTCTCTCCATTTTTGTTTTGAAATAAATTGTTGTTCGGTTATTTCCCCAAATTTTATTTGGTGTCAAAGTATTAGCGTTAAGTCGACCGGAGTGCAACGAAAGTAGAATCAAAGTTTGTTAAAGTTTCGTAGCTTGATCTCTACACATTTCATTTCATTACATTTAAGTAGCTACGCTTTTCTGTCATTGTTGCTCTTAGTCATTCTTTTCTAAGATCTGCTGTTGTAGGAAGTTTCTTTGTCTGTCAGAGCTTGTTGTACTATTTTGTACGTAGTATCTCAATCGATAGAGAACCAGTAATAAAATCTGCTATTCTTAAAATTACTTGTTTCAACTACATTTTAATTACAGTCAGTAGAACAGGTTTTATTACAGGATACTAAACCTATTCGTCTTATAATAAATGTTCATAATATGACTATGTTCACATATTAATACGAATTGAGTTTAGAACCTTCTATCCACTTTCATTAATAAAAATATAAGAAGTCAAGTTGATATTAAATCACAATGGTGCCATTAAACATCACAAATACTCAAAATGTCTAAAGTAAATTGATATAATATAACTATACTACCAAATATAAACAAATAATGACAAACTTGGGATTGAAGAAAAAAATATAACGTTTTTTATGACTTACTGTCAAAACACGTTATTCCGATATCTTCGTCATGCTTGCAATCGTGAACTCCCCAGTCATCGTGATTACATGCTGTTATTGATGATTCATAACCATTGCATCTGATATTGTTAAGCCAGATGGTTCCATTCCCTTTTCCATATCCTGGACCATATGCGATAGGTTTCGAAAATCCAAGATGTCGGCAGATAACACTTGCATCAGTGTAATCAAAATTCTGGCTGCATACCGAGCCCCACTTTCCATTGTACAGAATTTGGACTAGTCCTGTTGAATTTAACCCATGTGTGTTTTCAAGACGGATTTGTATAGCGCTTTCAAGTTCAGTTTCTATTAAAATAATGTCAGTGCAACATAATACCAAATTAGATTAAATTCAATTGTAAACCTGATAATAAAGTAAAACGTGGGTAGAGTTTATGAAGAAAATTAATAGCCATTACTAGTAGTGGATAATATTTTACTATCACTAACAGTAGGTAAAATGAGATATTCGGTAAATTCTTCATACACTCTTATTTTAAAATCAAGAAGATTTACTACAAGTTCTAGAGGAGTAGAGTTGTACAATCGATTTAAAGGAAAGACTGAGAGAATCAACTATTCAGACTTAAATTCTATATAGCCAGCATTAATGTATCTGTGAAAAATATTTTAAAGTCATTCATTTCGTATGCTATCATTTTGATGAGGAAAAATACTGCAAATTATGAATATATTGCGAGTATATCCCGAAAATATGATGATCAAACAACAAGCATTTTATATATAAGCTAAGTCTTTCTTAATATTAGGTTAATTATATACTGGCACTCTTTATTGTACAGGAGCTAACAATGTATGAGAAAATGAAATTTACATACCATTGTAACATGTTAGTGTAACATCGAAGCAGTCGAAATGAACACCCCATCCTAAATGAGCACAATCTGAGAGAGAAGATTCGTAGCCCTTGCAATTAACGTTGCTAAGCCAAATATATCCGATTTCATCATGTTTTATGCCGCCATAATGCTTTACTGTCGAATATCCTAGTTGTTTACAAGCTACTTCTGCATTCAAAATGCTGAAACCGGAATTACAAATTGAACCCCAATTATTGTTGTGATAAATCTCTAGTCGTTCCTTACGACCGGTAGTGCTACTTGCTAAGTGAAGCTGGCCTTCTTTTGCTGTTTCCGTTCACATAAAATGAAATTTAATTACTTCCAAGTTATTTTTAGTAATTTAAATAATTATGTAGTAGATACATATATATGCAGCATACAAATAACATAGCATACATACTGATTCCTTTGATAAAGTTAAATGAATAGAATGACTAGATCTAAACTGAATCATATACTTTATCGAATTTTGATAATCTCATAAATCGTAATCTTTAAAATTCATAGCTGTTCTGTTAATCGTAAAATGCAGCCTTTTGAAAATTATTTAGTTATAAGTAAAGATCGCATTTAATTTAGCTAAACTATATCGCAATACTCATATAGATGAGTTCAGTTGAAATCATTTAAATATGATTTGGCTAGATAAGAATCTTTCAAAAATAGCCGTAAAGTATATTCAATTGCAGATAATCACCAAAATACAGCTATATCAAAATACTGGAATTCGATCGGAAAAATAAGGTAATTTCAAAATTAATCATTACTAAACGTGAATGGCAATAGCAGTCCTCTAAAGTATTAGAAATTAAGCTTTAAAAATATAATCTTACCTGGATTCGCCGTATCTAGATTAAGGGTAAGAGAAATTATAAGTAATAGAACGTCAATGATACAGTAAATATTTTAGAATTCTTGAATGAGCTTAAATAAGCAAGAAAGTTTAACCGTTCCTAATCTGCCAATTTATTTTAGCGAAAATTCTAGAGGAAAATGCAGCTAATCACGCTATTGTAATATTATTTACGGTATAACGCAATAATGTACTAACAGTCTCGGCAACGAGTTCCATAATAGCTCGATCGGCAACTGCAATGCACTCTTCCATTAATTAACGTACAGGTACCATTATTTTGACACGGGCGTAATGCACAATAATCATCTAGTCAGGTAATAATAGTAGTTAGTTTAATAAAATCTATATATTACGTATTAATCTATTGAGAGATAAATTGTAATTTATCTCAGGGATACTGTACGCTGATACATAAACATATGGATCTTATCAAAAGTCCTTTCTGTACAGATCTTGAAGATGGGCATATCGCTAATTTTTCTTGTTATACGTAAGCTAATATTATAAAGCATGCCTACTACTATATTTATACAGTCTATAGGATTGTATAATTTCAAAAACTGTGATAAAAAGTCTTGTATTAAATAGTTCTAATCTCTAGATCGCTTATACTGGTCAGATGAAAAGTACCAAGGCAGACGGAGCTGGTCATTAAAACTACTGATACAAGGTTTGTATCTAAATTAGTACGGGAATGAAGATAATATTCTTACTCTTAAATGAGCAAAGAAATTACTGCTGAACCATAAGGATTAGGATGCAATGTAAAAAATTAATACACTAATTTACCTGATGTGCCAACGACCAATATCGTTGATTGAAATATGGCAATCTAGAGAAGAGTAGAATTTCATTGAGGCTAACAATAAATTTTATAATTCTACTAAGTTATTACATTTATAGACTATTGCTTTAATTCAATAACTCTAAATTTCTGTTTTTATGTTTCTGGGTTGTTTCGAAATTTATTTCACGATAAGTTTTGTTAGGTATTAGACTTATAGGAAAATTAGTCCGACAAAAATGTGCCATGCGATAAATTATTGGGACTACTCAATCAAAATTGTACACTGGGGTAAAATTTTGATTAAGTAGTTCCTGTAAATTGTCTCAAAATCAGAAATGATCAAGATTAGATAATTTATAAAGTTCATCTTTTTACATAAACTACTTCTTCATCCAAGAACAACTCTACCTCTAGGAGAAGAAATCTGCTAACGTGCTTTACGATTTAAGTATATTTGATCTATAATTCCTCATTTATCTAATATCAAATTACTTGCTTAATCTCTGCTGCCAATCACCTTCATAAGACATTTTTAACAAACACTACAATATTTACTGTAACCATTTAGCACGGATGTGTGCTTAGCACAATCTCAAGATTCCAGGCAATCTAGAATCTCACTCGTACAGTATCAATTTTATTCTTTTATTTAATGGTTGTCTACTATCTATTAAGTTATTTTTTAGGCGTTTCGACAATTACACTATACATAATACAATTATAATTGAAATACTCTGGTAAAGATTTTAGGTATACTTCGTCTCCTCTCATAATTATTACCGTGTGGAATTTGGTAACATAATTTTTAAATTTTTCGCTATTATGAATTCACTGATGCGTAGTGATAAGGCACTCTATTTAATGCTATGAATATTACACATTACTTAAAAGCTTGCTCTACATTCTTACTGCATTTCATTTTAACATTTTTATATCCTGCCGTTTTATTTTCTATGCTGAATCATTTTACATTTAGTAGTATATTACAGGCAATGAAGGTAATATAAAATTTTGACTAGTATTTTATGCTGTTAATAATTATTAAATTTATGATGTATCGTGAATCAATATCAATAGAATAAGCTTTAATCAAACATATTATTGTACAATAATGTCGATAAGCTTTTATATAAAATTTTTATTACAGTATTTAGTCCCGTACATTAGGATACGGGTCAAAGTTGCAACTATCAGACAGGTATAAAAATATATTAAATAAGCATCAGAATTACAATTGTAGTAATAGAAGTTACTGCTATTAATTGGTCTCTTAAATACAATAAGAATTGTAGCTATAATTTCTCAAATTTTGTTAAAAATGTATCTTAATCGACTTACCAAAATGAAGTAAATCAATAAGCAATGCATTGATGTTGCTTATTATATTTTAATATTTCCTTTAAAAATGTTACAGATAAACAGGCGTAAAAATATGCTGTTTTCGTCTCATTATCAAAATAGCTAATCGTTCAAATATTAACAAAAGACCATAGACTAGAATATCAGCATCGATGTCTAACTCGACTGCTCTGTAGAAAGTTAGAACGATTATAATAGAGTATGACGACATACCCGGAAGTTTGGTGGCGAATAATTATGAGTAAACTGATTACTTAATTTTTCTAATATTGTTCCTTGTAATTGTTATAACCTAACTAGCCCATATAGGAACTGTCATTTTATAATTTCTTTGATTCCTTTTATTAAAAACTACTCAGTGTTTCAGTAGCAATATATGCAGCTCTTGTCTATCATTATCTACAATAAAATGACGTCAAAACATAATAATAGCATTTCAAATGGAAAATAATTCTACCGAAAGCTGAAAAGCATCTTTGATCCTAAAACCCGTCTTGAAGCGAGGTTAAGATAAAATATTCATCCCTAAATAACATATAGATCTGATCGAATTTAGATATGATTTAGAGATAGAACTTGGTTAATAGAGTACAGTACAGTAACCACGAGAAGCAATTCTGAGACACTACTGCAATAGAACTACCTTTAACCATTTTAGGTTTTTTGCTACGAAAACATCAATCTTTATGTTAATCTTAATAAATTCTTCAAATTTATAAAAATACCGCGAGAAAATTATAACATTATAATTAAGTAATAGGCTATAAAGATAAATTATACATGGGGAACAGTTACTACTGTCTTAATCCGTCTATCATCAACAAAGCAGAAAAGACTATAAAAATTATATAAAATACGCTGAAATGCCTTCCTTTCTTTAGTCCACCTCCAGACTTCTATACAAACTGCCTAACTGGACTACCAAACTACACTAACTTTCATATATAGTACTTTGCAGATCGATGACGGTACCATATCTTCAATATCACTATTTAATAGTACTTCATAGTACTCTAAATTAAGCTGTGGCAATCGGTACACATTTTTAGACAGGTTTTACCTTATAGTAGTCATTATAACATTCATACTATTATACCGGATCAGCTACTCTATCACTGCTACACATACTTCATGTAGGTATGTAATGAAATGAAAAATGTAGAGATCAATCTACAAAACTTTAATAAACTTTGATTCTACTTTCGTTGCACTCCGGTCGACTTAACGAAACTTTGACACCAAATAAAATTTGGGGAAATAATCGATCAACAATTTATTACAAAAAAATAGAGAGAAGAATAAACCGAACAACCTTACAAATACTTAACTTTAAGTATTAATAAAATAAGTGACAGGCTTAAAAACTCAACAACCAAACAACCTTTCAAAAAGAAGAACGTTTTAACTTACGACAATTCGACCCCGAAGGCCTTTTAAATTCAACAAGTTCTTCAAAAGAATCTTCTACTCTCCCCTTAAATTTTCTAATTTCACTATCATTTATAGGCTTCGCAGAGCCGTCAGAGGTATTGAAAACTAAACACTGATAACCAATAGCTCTTAAGATCCATTTTAGAAAACTACTTTGCACCATTTAAGAAAACAAAAATCATTCAAAGTTCAGACACAATTTACCCTATGATTCCCTTAAAAAACACTATAAAACCAAAAAGTTAACAATGAAAATATATCAAACTTCACTTCTAACATAATTTCTATCATTAATACACTATAAAAGTCTAAAAATTTACCTTTAAACATCAAGATTTAGTCATAAAAATAACAGTCTAACTACTTAACAATCAACACCACCTCTGCCAATTTCCATCTTATTTTCTACTTTCCTAACTAAACTTTCCTGACGTGACTTTCATGTCACGTCATAAAATTGCAAAGTTTCAAATTCATAACAAAAAGTTCAAATTTCAAAAATCAACTCTTACGATATTTTTCATAAACTAAAATCCAAAAATTAAAACAGAAAAATTAAAATAGATAAATAATACAGAAAAATTATAATAGATAAATTAATACAGAAAAATTATATCGGACATAAATCCGACCGGTTCCGGAATCCGAATCCCAAAAATCCAGATTTTATATAAAGATCACAGCAATCGCTTATCAAGAAATTTTATATGACTACTACGATTACTTTTCTGACATTATTATCGCTTAGTATTGACAGTTAATGTTTTAGCGTCAGGTTGTACGGTAACTGTACGATTATAGACTACATCACAACACTTGACTGTCATGTTATAAATCCCCTTTCTCTACGGATAGGGTTTTGTTACTAAGTCAAATTCATTTACATTTTGAATAGACTATCTAACACCCTTACTTCAGGTTAGGCAATTGCTCTACGGCTACTTCTATAGCAATCTATATAATACTATGTAAAATAATGAAGAAGAAAATATGGCGACATGATGATTTGGCAGGGTAAAACATAAAGACACTATCACTTTATAGGTATTTTCTATAGTAAAATAATACTAGTTACATACTAAAAGCTATAAAGGACTCTACTTTTAGTCCTTTATTACAGTATTAATTAAGTATTTCTACTATCCGGTCTAAAAAATAAAGGAAATTCTATAAATCAACTTCTAATCTGCCACTGATTTCTCCGATTGTTGGTATATTTTAATTCTTCATGATACAGTGATCCATATGTATTTATGCCCAGTAATTTTGGTTCTTAGTTCCAGATCATTCTATATTTTTTAAGATACTGCAGTTATTGTATAATGTACATGCCGGCACATTGCTTGCAAATAGGAAGGCCTGTCAACTGTACTCGCACTGCATATAATAGTTTGGGCTTACTGTGTAATTATATTCAATGAAGGTTCAAGCTGAAATAAGTTCTCGGGCTACGATAGGTAGTGGACATCGGACAGTTTTTTGCATATTTAACAATAATAAAGTACATAGGAGCATGAATTTAGTAAATAGTCATATTTTATAGCTCGGGACTTCAAAATACTTTTAAATTTTAAATTGGTGTCTAATAGCGAATGAGATAGTTTACGTGTAATTTTCCAAATATTTGTATAGCCCTAGTGGTATTACGAAATCTACAGTATCTGTTTGCCCTATTTTATCAGAGATTTCATTTAGAAGCACATACGAAAGTAAAATCATTTTTCTAAACTACAGTTAGAAATCAGTTTAATTGATCGAACAATTTCGAAAGGAAATATCATAAAATACGGTGGAAAACTTGCATAATTATCATCATACGATCTTATACACGATTCCGCTTGTCGCTAGTTTTGAAAACTCGATCCAAAAATAACAAGTGGTGCCTTTCAATTTCTATGCTTACAGTACAGTATACTATAAGTACATTCTTCTGCATTTTCTTGAAAATTTCTAAGCATGTAATTGAACTGCATTTATCCTATTAATACTATAGAACTAATGCAACACTGCTGTTGATAGTTATAGGTACTATTACAGGATTTATCTTTTAGAATAGTATACTATGTGCAATCTGCAAATCAATATAAGTAATTTAATTGCAGCTCGAGATCGAAAAATGACCATTATATCGTCAATAACTAGCAGATGTGTAATCAAATTAGTACAGTATAATTTATTCTTTAAATACCGCAAGAGTTAGCCAATCAAGCTTTTTATAAAAATTTTGGGTAAGACTAATCCTTGTATAAAGAATTAAGCAAATGAATGCCGATTTAGCCTTTGTACTATTGTGACTTTTAGTTTAGATGTATATATGTTTTAATCAATTAAATCAAAGCCTACTACCACTATTCGTGAAAAATAAAACTAATAGTTGAGTGCCAGTAATTCCTTTTGGTAGTCAATGAATCTATTCAGACATTCGCCATTCGTACACGTTGACAAAGAAAATTATATCAAAAGACAACTAATAATAGAAATCGTTGCTTGCCGACATTGTCTAGAAGTAAGCCTATTGAGACTGCAAAGATACAGTAGATCAGCTATATTCTTTAAATTCCTCCTTTTTAAAAATTTTAAGATTATGAGATAATAGCCAAAATTGACTTCAAGAAAGCTACTCGTAGTATTATTTTTCGGCGCGGAAATGGTGTAAAATAAATCATGTGATATTTTAAACTCTATTACAGTCCCTATTCAATTAAACAATTGTTTTGCTATTAAAAAGACTTTCTTGAAATTACTCATTGTATCTTATACATCAGAGAAGCATATTAAATCCACTTTGTGAAGTTCTTATAGTCAGTACAATAACATGCACCAAATGCTCACGGCCTTGTTCGTAAACCTAACGAGACAGTGTGCGATTATATTTCTGGTAAGATACATACTACCTGCTGCATGAGTTTGTGGTACGAAATGTAATAGTACTTTTATTTAATTAAAATTATAATTATAGTCACTCACTTAGGTTCACTCGCTCCACTGATTAAGCTATGAAAGGAATAAGTACTTGTAATAATTTCAGCTAATTTCAGTAGTTAGGCGTTACAGTACTTTAGTTTTGCTAGCTCGAAGAGTTTGCCGTTGAAAGCGGTAGTTACGATATTTATTAGCAGATAGAAATTTCACCAACGTTACCACTGTAAGGTGTTTAAACCCAAAATACCCTAATTATATATCAATTCTATTATGGCTGTCGGCTTGATAGCGAAAAAGTACCGCAATCTCGGTTAATACGTACTTGCAAACCATAATTTGGGTCATGTTTTTAATTATTACCGTACTTATGTGACTTACAGAAACTCATAATTTCTAGAAGAATGCAATGTTTATAAAGTAATGTCAATAAGTGTCATACAAATAGCAAAAGATAAAAAGGATGGAAAATACTTCTTGTAAATTATATTTTTCCAAGGCCTATCCCGCATTGCATATCATTATTTTTTATATTGTAATGAAAATCTTTTGTTTACAACTGTAACTAGAAAGTAAGATGAACTTTTAAAAGATTGGCTTACAAGCGTTATGAATAACACTTTTAACAGCCACGTGAGTTGATTTTATTTTTATGAGCGTGCTATTGTTAGTGTACGCATAAATTTCAGAAGAATCAGACTATTCTTAAAGTTAAGATAAACTAGATCGGTCGTCACGTTCTCCTTTCAATCGTCAAGTTAGTACCGAAAAATTGCAATTATGAATCAAATACCAGCACCCGTTATGAAATTTCAAAACTCTGCTAATGCAGAATGGAGCAATTCGTTAAAAGTTATTTGTAGTTTATCCATTGCTTCTCTGGTATTCTCTATTATTATCGCTGGTGTCGGAGTAGCCGGATTAATCTTACCTGATAAAGTTGGTCCTTTTACCATCGGGATGGTTGAAGGTTATCATTGGTTTTGGGTTCCTGGTATGGTGAGTCGGTTGTAACAGTCTAAATACTCTACAAGTATTATTTTACGTTAGCATGGCACTTACCTGAATCAGAAACATCCCTTGTTAAACTAAAATCCCAAACAAACGTTTGAAAGTGAAAGTTTAGAACACAGAAAAAGTAGCCTGAAGGGATGAAAGTTAACTGAACTAGGCTAATTCAAGACAGTGAATATATATATATATTTGAACAATTTTGCATTTATATTAATTTATCCGCATAAGTAGGTCTGAATATCACTTGAACTATGCCTACTTTCATAAAGTACTATTTTTATCCCTACTATAGAAAGGTCACTCAATGAATCGCCTCATAATATTAGCAAATAAAAAATAGTCGATTACTTAAAATTATCGTAGAATATTACAGGAGCTAACCTAAACAACGTAATCTATAAACAGCTAGATCTCAGACTACACTCCTAATAAAGAGTTAGCCTTTTATATCCGTCGTTACAACATTTGATAAAGATGTTTATCAATTTATTCTCCCTAGCCCTCGACTATTTTAAACCACCTAAATATACCGAGGCGTAGATCATTGGCTACATATATCGTCTCTATTTTACTCACTAATAAAAGTCGACTATTTAAACGCTTGAATGCAAGATCTTTGATGCTACTAGTCTCCTAAGGGCTGGTATCATCATCTTACAATTTATTATTGAAGTCGTACTTAACCAGTTAAACCTATTTCCTGCTGCAAAGAATTATGTATCATTGTTTTTGCCTTACTATACATTAGTATGTATCACAGTAGGCGTTTGCGCGTATACTCGTAAATAGAAGTAAAAGCGTTCATTTTCTGACCTAGCTTCTAATATGAAGTTGAAAAATTGATACTTATACAGTATTCCGATAAGAAAATGGTTATCATACAGCTTGCGCGCCCATAGTTTCTTGGCTAACTAAAGCTAGTGGCTATCATACTTTTACAATTAATAAGGTGGCATCAAATTAGACTAGTGTACATGCATTTTATTGCTCTTATCATAGCTGAATGCGGTATACTTTAAGGCAAAAATTTACGCTAATTAATTATTCTAGTAAAGTTTAAAATTCGATCGTACATTTCGTATAAACGAGTCGATTATTCTCATTGCTCTTATTAACGAATGTTACAGCTTTTTATCACTAGCATCATAGGAATCTGTGCATACAGAAATGGTGAATATAGACACTGCGCGGTAAGAACAGATTATAATTTTGTATTGATTAATGTTGTCTTATTATTTACTAAATCTAATAAATAATTACATATTAATAACAAAAGAAAGCTAATACAACGTCTAAGTTAGCAATAAAGTTAAGTTTACAAAAGGTTATTTAAAAGCCTTATTACTACTGCATTTACGACCTCATTGCGCACTGATAAACCACTTAGCAGACATTAGTAACGGGAAATGTGGTAAATTCCGTAGTAACTAGCATTAATGATAATGTAGTTAAGCTAACTTAAAGCTTAAAGTATTTATTTTTCTGCTATTGAGTCCTTAAAGCTACTTTATTATACTGATTCTGGCAGGCAACAACTCATCTGGTGTTTTCGATTTTTACCATCCTTACGGTTATTGCTGGATTGGCTCTTTGTGGAGTAGCATTAGTGAATATGAAAAAATTAGTCCTTGGATGGCTCTTTGCAATTGTGCAAATTTTCCCATTCTTTAAACCATCTAATACTCAATTGATTTTTGGTTATTGTGGTACTGGCGTAGTTGCTGCCATTTACCTCTTTTTCTTGTACTACAGCATGCATAGTTCTATAATGTATTGTAGGATGCCAAAACAAACGTTAACCCACGATGTTAATGTTTCAATTCGACCGGTAAGTGTACCTATTTCTAAGTAAAGCGAGAATTTACTTTATATGTACATACATATATTGATCCAGTTTTATTATTTCATAGCAAATGCTGCAAGACTCTAGTGGAATGAACTATAACTATCTACCGGCCAATAATAATTTACAAAATAACTATTCAGTTTAAATATGCCACTTGATAGTAGAGTACATAAAGGAATTAATCAGCGATTAATCAGCACTTTGATAGTCCTAGATGTTATTTTGTAAACGTGGCGATATCTTTTTTATGCGTATTTACTCCAGTAGTTTGTTGTGTTTTCGACTTCAGATAAAGTAAAGGTAACGTTTTGCAAGTTTTTTCTCTTTACTACTGCAGTTCATGAGAAACACTAAGTAATCTAAAAAATGATTCCTTAATTTTTGGATAAATTTTTACTAGCTATTTGAAAAATCTCATAATGGCTCCATTTTATGTAGCGTTGTGCAAGCTAGTCTGATTTAATTTTTTACATGTAGGGTGTAATGAGCTGTACGAGCTTAAGTCTATCTTGATTCTCCTATGCTCTCTGAATTAGCTTGTGTTTTGTACCATGACCAGGGAGATTATATAAGGGCTACTTTTACTCTTTCAATCGAGCCTAGGATGTTTACCTTGTTCAGCCGTCGTATTATCAATTAAAATAATTAATTAAAGTTTAATGAGTGACTACCCTTTCTTACGAAATTTGTACGTTAGGGGTCTAGCATGCATGAGGTATTTACCGTTATATGCATACTTGAAAATCTGTTATTGCCGTCTTTGTTTAGCATATGGGCTGTGAGTCGCTATTATATAATCGATGGCTGCATATTTCAACATCGTCACTCACAAGCTAGCTCTTATTTTAAATGCGGTAGAATGATTTCATTACCTGTTAGCAGTAGCTAGTGAACAACTAGCTAGTAAATGATTCGATTTAAAGCTCTACCGTTTATTAAATAGGATATTTGCTTTAGTTTAATGTTACCAGTTTTAAAGGATAAAGTAAATGCACTAAAGATGAAGTAGATACAGCAGAACAATCTGTAAATTTACTTTACATCTGTATCTAAATTCATAGTCTTTTAACGTTGCAAGATATATTAAAAAGAAATATGAAAAATCTTATCCATGTAAAGCATCGGTTATCCTCAACAAATAATTGTCAAAAATTCGAGTTGAATAGGATCTAATATTTTATACTGAAAACTTAGAGTGGGAAAGTAGATTTTGTAGCGATATAAGTGTCCTAAGGGTAATTAGTAAGATGATGGCTCCAGTCAGGATGGAATTAGTAGTGTCAAGGATGTTGCTTCTGGTTAAATGGTGGCAAAGTTTTATTAGCAGATGAGATAGAGTCGCTGGTAATAAGCTAAAGTATCAAAGTTTGATTGATCAAGGATGAGGAATGACAATCCAGCCTAGTTTGGGTCTAACGATCCGTGGCCATACTTAACAGAGAAGCCGGAAAAGAAAATCTGATAAGGATTGCATTGATATCTCACACTCATAAAAGTCATTCTGAACGTAGAAACTAAATAAGAAAATTAGTCGATACATTTTATTGGTATCTAACAGGTATCTATCTAGCCATTTTGGGCTATCGTAATAGGAAGGAAATTACATAAGATTGATTCCTGCAGGAGGGAAGTCGGTCCGAGAGCATGAGGCCTAGCTGCGTACTTCTTATGTTGTCTAATTACAATCTTTGCTGCAGTGTTTCAACAACTAATTTTACGTAGTACACTGTTTTATTCACTATTGTTAGATCGACTTATTGCGAGATCATCATTATTCCCGCAATAAGATAGTACCGTAGATAATCTTAGCTTCTACTTTAAAAATAGCCCTCATTAATTTTGATTTTACTAATTAGCTACTAGCATGTAATTTGTAATCGATGTTTAGTAAACTTGAAAACTTTAAAGCAGTAATGCAAGTGAAACTTTTGATGAAATAGGCTATTTTTATGGGATGAAAGGAGAATTTGATTGTGGGAATGATTTGAGATGTAATTTACGAAGCACTCCGTATTGACAGTTAATTATAATCATATGCAAATAAGTTTAATTTGCATTTAATTAATATCGAATTTACAGTTTATTAGAGGCAGAATCAGTTATTGCCAGCTGATTATTTATAACTTGGCTGAACGACAAATAAACGGACTGGAAGAACAGTTGATCTGTAATACATATTACACATAATTATATGATATCGTCTAAGTTTAGCGGCAACCATTTCGTTATTTTTGATAGGGTTACTTTTGATTTGTTCAATTTCAAGATTCATATGTCTCCATTACACTTGTAAAGTTAAAAATTTACATTACATACTTAAAAATAAATCATTTTTTCTTATTGCTCTTAATAGATGCTACAAACTACAGACTATTATATATATAATTATTACCAGCATTTTAGGAATTGTATGTAAAAGAGGTAAATATAGGCACGCCCGGTAAGAAAAGTAGTCAAAGATTATAATTTTAATATGATTTTAATTTGTTTGTCATTAACCGGATCCTATACATGTCATATCTTTACGAAATTAGAGCTAAGGTACTGCCCAAAATCGAAGAAATATCCTTCAAAGGGCGCTTAATGCCTTATTGTCATGGCATTTATACTTGCATACACGACAATAAACGATTTGATAGGAGTTATTATGTAGTATAATTGTAAGATCTAAATACGTTTAGACTTTAAATAGAGCAAAAGCATTTAGCAAAGCTGATTTAAGATCAAAAGCATCTACTTCTATATTTTGAATCCTTAAAATAATAATTATACTGCTTGCGGTAGGCAATAGCCCATCTGGCCTTCAGTTCTAATAAGTGTTATTACAGTTATTTTTGGATTTATGCTTTATGGTACTACATTTACAGACACGATATTCAAAGTCTTTAGATTTGGACTAGAAATTCCGCAACATATCTCTCTCTTCAAACGATTGAAGAGATTACTGATTGTGGCCTACTTTGGTACTGACATAATTGCTTCGTTTTATTTTAAATGTCTTCCACTTAAGAGGATATTACCAAGAACGCTCCGTTATGAGGGTATACTACTATTGAAGTTTCACAACTAATACAGTAAAGGTTCTCCAGCCAGATCTGTCTAGTTCTATTCGCACATAATGAACTATAGATACTAACGTTTGGATATCCCAATTGTTTATTAGGCAAATCTATACCAGCTTATTCAAAATTCGTTTATCTGTTTTGTTCTCCTTGTACCGTAAAGAAAATTTCAACTTGACCGAGGGAGCGATGTTCTCAAGAGGCAACCAGACGTATCTGTCTATAGCCCCCAGTCGCTGTTTCTATCTTGATTAAAGGTTACGATTTACGAACCTTTTAGAATTGCAACTTCTTCTGTAGCAACGCAGTAATTTACCATGATTAACTTTTTATAGCTCTTTGTAATTACGTTGGGATTTTTATAAAATCTTTACTGAATTACATCTCATTAATAGCGGATTGTGACGCAGCTTCAATGTAGCTTAAGATTACAATTATAGGATTCCACGAAAATAAAAATAATTGAATGTGTCAGATTGTGAAATTGTATATAAATGTCTACTTGTAGAAATGATTACATTGCGTACTGTGGCAATGGTATTGAGATTTTTATATTAAGGTGTAGTGCAGTCCTAAATAAGATTAAGATTATAGCATTGTACGTAAATAGAGAAATTATATGCTAGATTGTAAGATTGCCTAAGTGTCTAATTGCGGAAGATGTTTACAGTACGTATTGTAGCAATAATCGTATTGAGATGCTTATTAAATTAAGATTCTGAGATAATAATGAATTACCCTAAGTATGTTAGTACTGTGAGATTTGTATTGTGACGCTTTAATTAGAAGTGTAAGACGAACCTAATCTAATGTAATAAAGTGAAGTTGACGAGAAACTGTAGTTCTAGTTCAATTTTTGAGAAGGCATTTTATTAAATAAGGCTTCGCGACATAGATAGATTATGTTAAGCATATGAGTACTGTGAGATTTTTGTTATGACACTTTCAGTAGAATTGCGAATTATGAATAGTTGACACGAAAATTTAGAACTGACCTTACAATTTAAGCTACTTTTACGTGATTGGCGTTTCACTGCTACAAGTAATGCCCTTTCTGTACAAAACCTGTAAGAGAACGACCAGTGGCATTTGATCGTTAGACGCTGGCGACATATCACTGAATATATGCAATTTTTATATTTTTAGCCGGTCGTCGTTTGGTCGTTGAACAATGATAGCATTAAATCTCATTAAGTTTAGCTAGCTCAAAATCGAAAGTATTTATTTGTTTGCTTTTGAATTTCTTAAAACTATTTATTTTTCTGCTTTTGAATTCTTAAAACTATTGATTATACTGCTTGTGATAGGCAAAGTCACGTCTGGTGATTTCGCTTCTAACCACTATAACGTTTATTGTTGGATTAGTTCTTTACGGCGTAGCATTAGCAAGAATGAAATATTTAGTCTTCGGATGACTCGTTTGAGTTTTGACACTGCATCCCACCTTTCAATTAACAAAAAGTTTCATGGTATTTGCTTGTAGTGGCACTGGCATAGTTGATGCCCTTTACCTGTTTTTCTTGTATTACTGCATGCACAGTTGTATAATGTATTGCAGGATACCAATAAGGATATTAGCCTGCGACACCAATGTTTCAACTCGACCGGTAAGTGTACCTGCCCTTAAGCAAAGCGAGAATTTCTTTTATGCAAGTGTAAATTTTACTAGTACAAAGTAGAGTATTGTACTGAGGTATTTTAATTAAACATATATTTATATTGATTATTATTCAGCGATTACTAAAAGACATAAGTGGAATGAACTATAACTAATGATCGGCCAAAAGTAATTTTAATACAACTTTTCGGTTTAATTGTGGCACTTGATAGTGCCTGGAGGACGTAAGCAGTTGACCTATGTTTATTCTCCTATTTTTCTTCAAGTTTATTTGAGCCTTGTATAATAGCCATGAAGATGATGCAAGATTACTCGTACTGTTTTAACCGAACCTAAGATGTTTAACTTGTTTAGCTATTGAATTACGTATAAAAGAAACTAATTATAGTTTATCGTGCGACTACCCTTTCTATGTGAAAATTAAGTGCCTTGCACGCGTCACTAACAATTGTATAGATGAAATTATTTGCCGCAGTCTTGGTTTAGAGTATTGAGTCGTGAATCGTCATCACATAATAAATTCAAACGAAAACTCATTTTTAAACATGGTAGAGTAATTTCATTACCAATCCTTAGTAGCTGGCTGCTCGCCAGCTATTATATAATTGGACGTAAGGCACGGTCCTGTAGTGTACGGGTTGTTAGCCTAAAAACTGCTGTAATCAGCTGAAATCACTACAGGTCCTTAACCTTAAAAAGGACATTTGTTTTACTTTCAATGCCACTTGTTCTGGAAGATAAAATAATGCAATGGATATGAATTTGATACAACTGGATTGTACATAAAGCTTACTTCACTTCTATGCCCCAGACTCATGATCATTTCATATTTCCCAAGATATATTCCATAAAATAATTGTTAAAAATTTTGATTTTAATAGGTATAATTAAGTATATAATAAGGAGTAAAAGTATCCGCAATCCTCAACATTTTATTATCAAAAATCCAAGTTGCATGAAATATAATATTTTACACTCAAAACTTGGTGTAAAAAAAAATAAATTCTATAGGGAGATAGAGATTCCAAGGGTAAATTGAAAGATTAAAACACTTGTCCTAATGGAAATAATGGTGTCAAGGATGTTACATCTTGGCGAAAAAATCGCGGTTTTATTAGTGAATGGGTTGGAGCTGTTAGCAATAGTTTTAAGCAGGCTGCAGTCTCTTACTTTTGCTTGGCCCAAGATGAGGGTAGACAACCAAGGGTAGCTTAGGTCTCAGCTCTTACCCCATACTGGTCATAAATTAGAAAAGGAAATGGAGAAAAATTTCATTGACATCTAACGCTCAAAAGAAGCTGAATAAGAAAAATAGTCTATTTGCATTTTAATGGCATCTGGTCGTTGTAGGCTACTGTAATAGGAAAAATAACTAACTATAAAAGACTTTCTGCTGGACAGTATATGCCAAACGGCCAACGTATACAGTACAATGCCCGCGTGCAATGTAGAAAATACAACTGACTTGTAATGTCAAAACTATACAGTATTCTAGTCCATAACAGCGTTGTTGATAATATAATGTTGAATGTTATAGTCGAGTCGAAATAAATCGATCATAATTATTATTGTATTTATCGATTAAGATGGAGAATACGGAAAAGGCATGGTCAGAAAAGAAAACAATTCCATCGCCAACGCAAAGCTCACTGTCCGTCGTTCATCGCAAACTCCAAGATATAGGAGATTAAAACAACATCGCGAACGCCAAGCTCACTGTCCGTCGTTCATCGCAAACTTCAAGATATAGGAGATTAAAACAACATCGCGAACGCCAAGCTGGCCATCACTTAGCGGAAAACCGCCAACAGCTCGCTTGCAGTCTCGTACTTCGCGAAGCATTTTCACCCACTTCATAACGCCCAACACCCGGTCATTGACCGAGCAGTTTACTCGTTCATAATTCATCTTACTTATTATGAGTTTAATTTATGGATTGAAGCAATGGTTATTTGTAGCCTATGCCGATCATAGCGTCATTCCTTGATGGATAGATTTCATTTGGTACTGAAGTTGAAAAATGACGATATTGACTAATCTTGTTGTAATAAATGTATTTCACAACTGTTCCATTCCATCTTATCGAATACTTACCAAATCATTGACTAAAGCAAATAGAATGCTTTTTATTGTTACAGAATTCAGAATCGTAGAGCAATAATGAGCTCGAACAAGAATCTAGTCAAGGATCATCTCTACAGTCTACAGTTGTTCAATCCATTTGGTTCGATGAATTGACTACAACCAAGCGTTGCCTACAAGTTCAGACTTGAGCCTGCCAAGGGTAGGCTTTCCTCAACTCGATGATAGTTC